CCTTTTAAATCTAGGAGAAAAAGTTTCAATCGGGATATTGACACTGGAAGTCAGAAAATATGTTTTATCTTAAGTCATATCCTCAATGTGCAGATTAATGAAAGAATTTGAAGGCTATAGTGATGTAGGATGATGCCATTTATATTCTGCAGTGAGTCGATGTGACGTAGGTAAAAGTAATTTCGTGCATTTTGTAAATTCTGTTCGATGACACTGTAACCATTTAGAACATTGCGCGATTCAATGAGGACATTGACCGGACTGTCCGGGGAGTATGTGACATTCGACCAGAATGGCCAAAATGCAGTCTCTGCAGAATTCGGTATTTTAGCAGCAAGCCTTCCGAATTGGCGATTTAGAACGGATAAGGACGTTATTTGAACGATTAGCCAAACGGTGAAGGCTGGAAGATTCTGGAATTCTAATTTTTAAAAATTCGAATTATGACGTCATATTTCTGAGAAACGTCAGAAACGGCCATTTTTAGCTAAAAGAGCAAGAAAAAACAGAACAACTTTTATCTGCGATTACGAACAGTACGAAATCGAGACTAAAAAACTACAACGAACTACCGAACAGCAGAGGACGTTCCGAGTTGCAACTATTGTGCTGTTACAATAGTTGCAAGGCCGTTGCGAGCAACGGTGAAGGGTAAAACCCAGCCTTCCGAGTTATTGTGAACTGGATATTAAGAAGCTTGATTCACCGGATTCAAGAATCCGGAAGGGTCTCGGGACGTGGACTTTTATGAACTTATATTGAATTTTAGTATCCGTCATGTCCTGACTTGAATTTAATTAAGATCTTAATTCGTTTTGACAAGAATGAGGAGCTAGAAGTAGAGGGGAAAGGGTTGATCCATCTTCGATGGAGATGATGATTTTTATCTACTGAACAAAAACAATAGTAATATAATAAGTAGTAGCCCTGTTTTTAGGAGTGACCTCGTGGTCTGGGGATACTGAGACCCAGCCATGAGCTCACTATTTTTGCATGTAATCTAGTTAATTTGAGCGTTCTGGTCGAAGCCGGAGAACAGTAACGTTTTTGTCAGCCTGATGTAAGAAAGACCACCGAAAAGTACTGGCTTGGTAGAGACGGTGAAAAACATGCAAAGCTCTGTTTAGACGCTAGCCAGTCGTCTTAAGACTTAGTTTTGTTATCCGTCGATATGTATCTTCCGGGCGAATGTTACACCGATCATAAATTATTCTCGAAATTCAAAGCGCTTAGAAGAGAGAGAGAGAGGAAGGCTTAATTTACCCCGTGGGGAGTTTACAATCACAAATAATGAAATGCAAACATAAAACAAAAAAAAAACAAAAATATAAATATATAAAATAAACTATGACCGGCAGAAGGTACAGCAGCACTTTCCATACCAAGTACACGGAATGTTTTCTTCGAATGTTTGACGTAGCTTCGTATCATAGAACTTCATAACTTCACGCTTGTACCGGGGGAATGATAGACGGACATCAAGCTTCATGAAATTCAATAGTCTAGGAATACGGTCAAAATAAAAGGACTTTGTCTTCTCGTATTTTCGCTTCTTTAATTTGAAAGAGTATATATCAACACTCCGTAATGATACAGATGGGTCATTTATATCAACAAAATCGAAGGGGTTTAAATCGTACTTGTCCTGAAACAGTTTATGGAAAAACAGAAGATTTGAGATTTCAATATGATATGGCAGAGGATAGATTCCTAACTTTATCAGTGACGTTTTATAATCACCTGACAGACCGATCCATCTCACGCATCTTCTGTTGAAAGCTTCGAGCTTGGATAAGTCGGTCTTGTTAGGTATCCAGATAGAAGAACCATAAGTAAGCACAGATAGAATACATGCTTTGTAGAGCCGAACCTTCGTTTGTCTCGGAGTACTGCTCGGAACATTTCGCTTTAACATAAAGTACACTTTGTTGCACTTGAATAACTTTTCAGAAACATGGTGCGACCACGATAAATCAGAACTGAAAATGATCCCAAGATCTTTGACGTCTAAAGATTCATCGATTTTGTGATCACCAATATAGAGATCTGGGTTTTCAGAGCTGTGGTTAAAAAACTTCAGGACTTTACATTTGTCAGGATGTGAATCGAGAGAATTTTCGCCACACCAATTGATAACAGCATCTAGATCGCGTTGAAGTACGGGAACAGAGGTACTGCAGCATTTCAGATCATCAGCAAAGAGGGATGGCTTGGATAAGAGATAATCAGGAAGATCGTTCACAAATAACAAGAACAATAACGGCCCCAGAATACTACCTTGCGGGACACCACTCATAATGCTCACAAAATCAGAGAGCACACCATTGATTCGCACACGTTGAAAGCGTCCAGAAAGATAACTTTTAAGTAATTGGAGAAAGCTAACATCCAAACCGAAATCCGCAAGTTTTTTGAGCAATTTATGGTGAGGAACCGAGTCAAACGCCTTTTTGATATCCGCATAAAAAACAAAAGACGAAATACCAAGTTCGTGATTCCTATAAAGCTCATCACAGAAGTTTAACAGTTGCGTGACAGTTGAACGCCTTGACATAAAGCCGGATTGGTATTTCGTAATTTTCGGCCTAATGCTAGTGTAAATGTAATCAAATAAGATACGCTCCAGACCGAGGGAAAGTTTCGGTAGCAGGCTGATGGGACGATAATTGGACACATCACTGTGGCTATCCTTCTTGTAAAGAGGAGTTATGTACGCAGTTTTCCAAACATCGGGCCACTTTTTTCGCTTTAAAATGTCTTCATAGAGAGCAGCCACTAGAGGACTCAGTTGAAATGCACAATGTTTTAGGAAAGCCGGCGGGACATCGTCACAGCAGACAGAAGCAGAGTCATTTGCCGACTGAAGAAAATGTAAGACTTTTTCATGACTAACAGACACCTTGCACAACTCAATGGTAGAAGAAGTACTAAGGCTGGTAATCTGAATCTCCCCGGAGGTCTTGAAGACAGACGCAAAAAAGTCATTAAAAAGATTGGCCTTCTCAATAGTAGTGGAAGCAGATCTTTTTGCAAAATGCATTGTGCCTGGGTAGGGAGAAGAATTGCTCAAGCTTTTCAAAATCTTGAAGCAAGAATTGACGTCCATAGTCTCATAGGATTGCAGGAAGCAGACCTTGTCAAGTTCCATTGACACATTTAGACTGTCTACAAGAGTGCTATGATCGTGCATGGGATTGCGCTTTTTCTGGGTGCCAAGTTTATTTAAAAGGTGGACCGTATGTGAAGAATAATAAAACGGCAGATTTTGACGTTTGAGTCTTTTACGGTAGGAAGAAACACGCACACTCTCATTTAGAATTGAGAAAATCACCACGCTGAAGTCATCATACAAATGGGCATACTGCAGAGCATTATAACCAGAATTAAGCATCACGGAGAACGTAGTATAGTCAAAGGAGGATTTGGAGTAGGCTACTGGTCGAATTTCATCGTCTGATTTAGTAGGAAACGTAATGCTGACAGGCTTGTAATCAGAGAAATCGGACTCCAAAACTTCAATATCACCAGGATTAGCACGGTTAAGCAATAGGATATCGAGAATGCTCCCACTGCAATGTGTTGGTTCAAAGATGTGCTGCTCTAGATCATAATCATGAAACAAAGAAAACAAGTTTGCGTCATAACTCGAGGAGCTGTAGCAAGAGTACCAGTCAATATTGGGAAGATTCATATCACCCGAGACAAGGAAGTAGCTGTCGTGCAGAGATCCGCGCTTAGCACATTCAGATTTGAATGCAATATGTGCAGTTTCCAAAAACTCACTAATGCTTATAACGGATAATCTGAAATGCGAAGAAGCGGGAGGATTATAGATGACAGCAATGCAAATAAGGAGCGAAGCTGAAACCAATAAAACTGCACAGCCAACAGGGGATTCGCAAACAACCGGTTGAATATGGAACGTAGAAGGAATTGAGCCCTTTATAGCAATAAGGCTACCTCCGTGTTCACCATTTTTACGATCAGAGCGAGCAAGAACAGTGTAATCAGCATACGGGAAAACAAACGATGATTCAACCGTGCTGGTCAACCAGGTTTCAGTCAAGCAAATAATATCACAATTCCATTTGTATAACATATTAACAAACTTCAATCTTCTTTCCAAAGAGAGCATACTTTGGCAATTGAAAAAGACAATCGATAACTTTTTCTCTAGTCAATTTTGCTTTGGCTCAAGTTGTTGCAACTCGTCATCAAGATAAAGCTTCAGGTCACGAATTTTGATCTGCTTGCGATCATAGCCGCCTTCGATTAGTTCACGACGTCGTTTCAGGAGCTGCCTTTCAAGTTCCTGGCCAGCTTTGGTTAGGGACTTGGAAATATAGACAGCATCACAATTCTCTTTCAGATTGTAACTCTTGCTTAGAATCTTCCTTGTAGACCAAACAGAATTGAATTTGATTATAACAGGTCTCGGCTTATTTGGATCCGTATTGGGTTTTCCCACGCGGAAGACCTCCTGAATCCCCGTAGAAGAATTTGCCTCGAGATATTCAAGTATATCAGTCACTGATTTCCCATCATCCTCAAAGCGCTTGTTAGCAGAATTGGCAGAGCTTTCAGGTATGCCTTGAATCCTGATCTCGTCCAACTTCTCAAGTAGCTCCGGTGACGAAACAGATGAAACTTTGATTCGGGGTAATTAGGGATCGGTCTTTTCAAGCTTCTCAACAACAACATCAAGTTTCTTTTCAATAACATCAAGACGTTTATCGGCATCTTCCCCTGCATCAACAGCATGAGTACAACTATTTTGATTATACTTAGCTTCCCGAAGTTGCGTAACAGCTTCGCGCAACAGGCAAAGTATGCTGTCTTTTTTCAGCTTTCCAGTCAGCTTTCCGAACGTCTCAGTGCCGTCAGCCCGAAGTAGATCATCCACGGTTGGGTAGTAGTCAGCGGTCACAAGGCCAGATGTGGAGTTGAGCCGCTGGGGGGCAGGCTGTGTTCCCTCAGGATCAGTCATAACATATGAAACTATTTAATAAGTTTATCACAACAATTAGGCTAAAGGGGAATACTTTTTTCTTCGAAACTCGAAAGTTGAGATTTTTTCAAGAAAGTCGGCGTTTTCTATGTTTACTTACGTTCATTACTCTTTTGCAATCTTCGATTGGCTATGTTTAGTATCTTGTGCTACTTTTGAAAGCATTTATTACATTTTTAGACTCATGACACCAAATACCTTAAAGCTTGTAGACTCAGAAGAGTTTCTGAAGTCGACTAACGACACTGATCGTCACTACCGATTCATCCAGTTGACAAATGGACTAAAAGTTTTGCTTGTTAGCGACCTTGCAACAAAGACAGCTGCAGCGTCACTCTCAGTTGCTACAGGAGGATCGCGGTAAGAATGACCTTAACCGATGTCCGATGTTAAGTGTGAATGAGCGAAGTGAATTTTCACTATAAGTCAACCAGGAAAAGTATTTAAAAAATACTGGTCACGTGAATTTTTTCATGATGATAGTTTTGTTTTCAGGAAGAACGTTTCTAAAAAATGAAAGAGTTTACAGGTGTGCAAATTTCTCTACGAATCACTTTAGGAAAAAGAAAACAATTGCAATTTGAACATTCATAAAGTTCAGTGTAAATATAAATTAATTTTCCTCAATAAAATTTACGTGTCATTAATAGTCACTATTATAGGATTATTAATTACTCTTGCGATAAGCAAGGGTATTGCAATCGGGGACTTGAAGTGAAAATTCAAGAGGGGATCTTGACCCTATTCCAGGCCCATATGAAATTTGTTCTTAGGAACTTTCAAAGTGTTATTCGGAAACGCATGCAGGTAAAATTGTTCCGGAAATAGGTGAAAATACGTTTTTAGGTATTTCGGAAACATGACTAACAAAAATTTGATTTGAAATTATGGGATTTAGGAACAAAAACACATTTGATGTTTAGATTTGATAAACAATCTTCAATAAAACAAAAAGGTGGCGAAGTTTTATTGAAGATGGTCTATCAAATCTAAACATCAAATGTATTTTTGGTTCTAAATCCCATAACTTAAAATCATATTTTTGTTAGCCATTTTTCCGAAATATCTAAAAACGTATTTTCACCCATTTCCGGATCAAATTTTTTAACCTGCATGCGTTTGCGAATAACACTTTGAAAGTTCCTAAGAACAAATTACATACAGGAAAATATGAATCAGTATGGGTGGAATGCAAATCGAACATAAAAATACATCCAGCATAGACAATTCTATCTGTGCTATAATCGAGGAGGGTAGATTTTAATTGACAATTCTCTGGATGCATTAAAATCGACTTGATCTATTCATAAAATTTTGCCGATGTTTTTATATAGCGTTGGTACGGCCCTTTCTAACCTGTGCACGTACCTTCGCATGACCGAAGGGCCCATTTCGGTTAAAAATGTGATCAATATTGACAATGCTTTTTCCGTTTCTAACCAGATAATAGTGATGGGTGATTATAACATAAATTACTTCAACAAATCAGAAAAAGACTATTTGGAGTCCAATATTACTCCTTATGGATTACAAGTGTTCTGTCCCGATAATGTGACGCGATAAAAAATTCAGTTTGATTACCTCATTAGTGACTTTGAAACAAACGGAAATGGTTTTTTGTTTTGAGACACCTTATAAAACGGACCATTTTGCTTCACTTGTTGTGACAATTATTAAATGTGGAATGAACATGCCGAAATTTATTTTTAGTTTCATCGCTTTCCGCTCTTTCATGGTTGTCGAATGCGCAGATGCACAAAACATGCTGTTAAATTCAATTTTCAATGCTCTTCACAAAAGGACACAAATTTGAAAAACAAAATAAAAGTTTTGCGTGTATTTTTTTACCCTTGCGATAAGCAAGGGTATTGCAACTGGGTATTGGATTTTTCCTGTAAACAACTTTGTACCCGGCATCCTTTCTAGTGGATGTCTAGAGGGTCTTCATTTCTTAAGTAGGATCTTCGCTTTCTTCACTTCTATGTTTTGAGTAGAAATTAATTCAAGTCCGTTTCAGGCTGTAATTATCTTTTCAAAAAAATCTCAATTTTTTTCGTGTTCGTGGTTCTCGTCCTAGTTTCTGTCATTTTAGTTTTCGTTTTTTTAAACGCCATTTTTTTTTGATCTGTTAGGGTTTTTATTGGTTTACTTTTCAGAGCATGGATTTTTTCCAACTTAAACAGTTATTTTTATAACTGGAACTTCACAAATTTGTAAATTATGGTAAATATACAAGTTTTTGAAGTTTCAGTTATAGTTAAACTGTTTAAATTGAAAAAAAAATCCATGTTTTAAAAAGTAAACCAATAAAAAAATTACTGTCAGCTTTTGAGTTTTTTAATTTTTCAAACTGTGTTAGTTTGTTATATCGACTTAGTCTTGTTTTTTTTCGGTTGCTTTTCGAATTGATTTTTGCCATCTTTGATAGTGTTGGCGGAGTGCAGTTTTACCTCAGTATAACAGCCATTTTGAAACGATATCTTACAATCGATTAATCAGTTGGCTGTAATTAGGGTAGCGACAATTTGCTTTTGCTTTAGAGGCTCTTTTTAAGCAGTAATTTTGTTCAGGGATCCTGCGACTGTTCCCGGATTGGCTCATTTTTTGGAGCACATGTTGTTCTTGGGAACCGAGAGATATCCGAACGAGAGGGACTACTCCAATTACATAACTTGCCATGGAGGTAGCTACAATGCCTCGACGTATTACAACGACACCAACTATTACTTCAGTATATCATCGGAACACTTAAAAGGTGCGCTGGATCGATTCAGTGCGTTTTTTACATGTCCTCTCTTCACTGAAAGTTGCACTGAACGTGAGATGAATGCTGTGCATGAAGAGTTTCAGAAGAATCTGTTGAATGACCTTTTCAGAGAGAACCGATTGTTTTACTCTCTGGTTTCAGCAGACCACCCTTTGAATAAATTCATTAGTGGAAATAAACATACTTTAACTGATGTTCCAAAATCGCATGGCGTGAATGTGCGTGAAGAATTGTTTAACTTTTATTCCACACATTACTCTAGCCATTTAATGACCTTGACAATTGTCGGGAAGGAATCCTTAGACGATTTGCAGTCTATGACTCAGGAATATTTCAGTGACGTCAAGAGAAATGAGACCGCAGAAGTTTTAAAACTCTCTAGTCCTTTTGAGGGCCCCAGTCAAGTGATGAAGGTCAGAACCATAAGAGTGTCTTTGCCTTTTTAAACAACCATTGTTGCCTCAAGGACTGAAAAGATTAAACAAAGAACATAAATGTCATAATCAGCGGTGTAATATTCAAGATCAACTAAGCCATTACTTACACGCTCGTCCATATCATGCAAATCATAATGCATGAAAAATTACGAGAGCGCAATATTGCGATTTCTAGGCAGAAATCACTACCACCGCCTTTAGTTTTGATTTGTGGTACGAAGTTGTTTTTTAACTCACGAGAGCAAGTGACTTGTAATCGGAGCCAAGACTTTTTTCCCGTTAACAAATTCTCTTACACTTCCTGCTTTTCAATTTCCTGAAAGTTCAAATAAAACTACTTTTCAGTTCATTTGAGGTAGTAATTAAGTTAATTAAAAATATGAAAATTGTTGCTTTTTCAGACTTCTGATTTTCGTCCTAATTTTTGTCCTCTGATTTACCGTTTTTTTCTCAGATGCAGTTTATATTATCAAGTATTCTTTTCAAGCATATTCTTTCCAAAGCTGAGGCTTTTTATTTATGATTCAAACAGTTTGTCATTAATTTCTTCAAGCTCAAATTTACTTTTTCGCGGTTTGACTTTTTAGTTCTTTTCAAGTTCAGTTCATATTATTTGTTTTTAAAACTGGATTTTTTCACTTTTCTCAAATAGTTTAATTTTTCTTAAAACAAAGATTTTTGATTTGCAAAAGGTGGTACAAATGGAAAGATCGCTCACTCCCTCGTGTGCCTGCGTAAACATTTTTTTCATTTTCTCGAGAACAAATTTCTTAAATCTAAGATTTTGAGTTCAATTGATAGAACAGGTTGTGGTAAGCTCCGCTGCTTATTATGTTACGCCCTAATTTTTTCCACCAAAAGATATGTCCGTAGAAAAAGTTAAAATTTCGATTTTTTGACCTTTTTTTCAAACTTCTCGACTTTTCTCGAAAACTAGCTTCCCAAATCTGAGAATTAAGTTCCAATCGAAAGCAATAGTTAAGTGAAGGTCCCCTGTAATAGCTTTTCTGCCCAAATGTCTTCCCACTAAAATATGGTTCTCGCAATGGTCGAATATTTGATAGTTTGACTGTTTTTTAAAGTCTTCTTTACTTTTCTAAAAAAATGCCCTCCCAAATCTGAGATTTTGGGGTTATTGGAGAGAGCAAGCTGCAGGAGGCTCTCTTCCAATAGTGGCTATGCTCAAGTTTTGAACCAAAAACTTTAACTTCCTCGGAACAGTCATAATTATGATTTGACCATTTTTTTTTATTTTATGAATTTTCGCAAAAACTACCCTCCCAAATCTGAGAATTTAGTTTCACTCGAAAGCACTGGTTAAGCGAAGTTGCCCTACATTAGTATCTATGCCCTAAAGTTTGTCCACTAAAATATGGTTCTCGCAATAGACAGTTATTTGATTTTTTTGACAGTTTTTTTCAAATCTTTACTTTTCTCAAAAAGCCCTCCCAAATCTGAGATGTTGGGATTAATGGAGAGAATAGGCTGCAGGAAGCTCTCTTCCATTAGCTGTTATGCTCAACTTTTTTTCACGAAGAATTTAGTTTCAATCGAAAGCATTGTTTAAATGAAGCTCCCCTGTATCAGCAGCTATGCCAAAAAATTTCAACAAAAATGTTATGGCCGTCGGAAAAGTCAAATATTTGATTTTTCGACCGTTTTTCGAATTTTGACTTTTCTCGAAAAAAATACCCTCACAACTCTGAGAGTTTTGGGATCAATGGAGAGAACGAGCTGCGGGAAGCTCTTCTGCAATAGCTGCTATGCTCAAATGTTTTCACTTTAACGGTTATCATCCTCGGAAAAGTCATAATTGTTTGCACAAAAAGTGATGTTTACTTTTTAACTTTGACTTTTCTTTTAAAGCGACTCTCTCAAATATGAGATTTTGAGTTCAATAAAAAAAGTCGAGAGAAGCTTCCCTGTATCAGCAGCTACATCGGTCTTATTTTCTATTTTTCATAGAAAAATTTATGGCCCTAAGAGAATTTAATGTTTTGATTTCTGGTATGTTTTGTCGAAAACAACCCAGCCGAATCTGATATCAAGGATTTAATCGAGTTATGACATGAAGCTTTGTGAAGCCTCCATTTGTAAGCGGCTACGCCTTAAAGTTTTTTTTTTTAATTTGACTGGGAAAATTCCAATAATTGATTTTAACCATTTGGTTGAAGCCCAATTTTTGGTTTTTAGTGAAGCCCAATTTCTGAATTGTGATTTCATCTTGAATACTTTCTACAAATTCGGAAAAAATCAAACATGTATCTCCAGCTTTAGATGGGCTCATATTTCAATAAACGAAAATTGGTTTGTAGTTTGTAAATGTACCAGCTGTGATTTTGAATAATTTTATTCATTATGATTTTTCTTAGTTTAAACGGGTACGGCTTAAGTTATGTCGATTTATTCAACTAATGTTGCGTAGTTTTGCGGGCGAATTGCCTAAATTTAATTTGCATGTTTCAAGAAGATTAGTCGTAAAAATTTTGATATAAAAGTTTAATAGTTTCATTTTTTTTATGACTGCAGTTTCGTTTTCGGCTCAGCGAGGGTCGACCCAAGCTTTTCGCCTTATTTAACGCTCAGGTAGTGCTTCTCAATGCTTGCTAAGGCTGTTTATGAGCCTCATCCAGGGCAAAGGTATAAAGTTTTCGTAGATAAAGTTTTTTCGACTTTTTGCAAGGAATTTTTCAGCTTAATTTTTCAAAAAAAAAGTGACTTGTAATGCAATGTTTTAATTGTCTTGCAAAGGTTGCGAAGCTCCGCTTTACCGCTGTAGGTTATTTTAAGAACGTGTTCAAGTTATATTTTTTTTGCAGGAGATACACGTAGTTCCGATGCGAGACAAGAGGATACTGGAACTAAGTTTCAATGTTCCCTACACTCTTTCTCACTACAGATCCAGCCCCGACTACTATGTCTCGCATCTAATCGGTCACGAGGGATGCGGTAGTCTCCTCAGATACCTCCAACAAAGCAACTGGGTCTTGTCTCTGATGTCTTATAACGACAATAATGACTACGCTTTTGAGACTTTTTTTGTCAGCATGGAGTTGACAGATGAAGGATTAGAACACATGTATGACATAGTGACTGCCTTTTTCCAATATGTGAAGATGATGCGTGAAGAGGGACCACAGATAAGAATTTACGAAGAGCTGAAGGTATGTTGCAAAAAGTCTTCATAAAAGTTGAGGTTTTTTGCTGCTATTTTTATGGTTCCTTTCAACACCGGAGTGGTAAGGATCGACCTTCTTTGTGAGTTTTTGTCACGTGTTAAGGAACCCATGAGAAAATCGAAAAAAAAACAATCAAAAAAAGATTGCCAAAAATCTCCGAAAAAAATCAAAGATATCTATTATTTGCAAATTGTATCACGTCACTATTTGCTCTACTAGGGTGTGCCTGGAGGACAAACATATATGAACTTTTATTACTATCCATATGCTATATTTTATTACAACTGGATCAAGTCCAGTTTTTTCGAAAGAAATGCCGTTTCTGAGCGTTTTTGGAAAGTTTTGTTCAAAAAGTTGCGATTTTTTGGCGGGCGCCTGCGCCTCAACAAGTGTTTATTGGCCAAATACAGTCATTGGTAACTCACAAATTTTGGCTTTTATCTCATAAACGAATTATTGTTATTCGTAATGAAAATGGGTCGATTGTGAGGAGCTAAACGTGTTAAACTCGGTGCCTCAGAAAACGGCAGTAATTTAGCCAGAAATGGCTGTCGTAAAATTGTACCACAGGCAGGGGCGGATCTAGGATTTTCTCGAGGGGGGAGGCGGATTTTCAAAAAATTTTGTCGACCTTTTTTAATAGGTCGACCAAATAGATTTTCCGAGCTCTCCCAAAGCACTACATCACTAAAATTTTTGTTCCACAAACAAGCTTTTGAAACAACAGGACAAAAAGGCGATTTTAGGCACTGTTTTTAGGCACTCGTTTTTTCGGTGCGCTCTCGCTTCCTTAAAATAAGTATATAATACGCTCCCTTACTCAAAGTTAGTATATTTTGGCGCCGAAGGCGCCTTCTGAAAAATTTTAGGCCCAGTCAGCCAAAAATGGATATCTCAAAATAGTGCAAAGGGGGACCCTTTGGGTCGGCACGGGGTCGCACCGAACCCCTGAGGGGGGTGGAGGGGGGGGGGGGCGGCGTTCCCCCTAAATCCGCTGGTGACCAAAGGGTGGTCAAAGGAGAGACGACGCACGTTTTGCCGAGGGGAGGGGTGGGGTGGTCACAATACTTTATTGGACGAAATGCGAAAATTTTGTATAAGCTAAATGTTTTTCGTTGTCTAGAAAATGGCCGAGTGGTCGTTCCGCTACAAAGAGAAGGCTTCCGAAGCGGCACTGGCCAGTCGATGCTCCAAACTGCTGCACTACGATTTCATCCCAGTCGAACATGTGCTGAAGTTCGGCCTATTTTACGACCAGTTTGACAAGGAACTCATAGAAGAGTACGTGAAGTGTCTAACTCCACAGAATATGCGTATGATAGTCAAGGTCAGTCATGTCTATACATTCAAATTCTGTATCCGTAAAATCACATATCAAATATTCTGAATAGAGAATGTTTAATGCGATTGAGAAATATGAGAATTTCTTAGCTGGCACCTAGATATTTCTGCTAACCACCGTAATTTATGTCAAGGCTAGGGTTGAGGTGGGAATATTCTACCCATGGTTTTTTGGTTCTGCCTGAACCAATTTACTTTCTCATCTTGGAATATTATAAATGTTTCTATGGTCTTCCTTGATTCAGGCGAAGAAGTTTGAAAAGACTGAAGTTGATCTGCAAACTGAACATTACTTTGGTACCAAGTATAGTGTAAAGGACGTTCCTCAGGAGTGGGTTGAAAAATGGGAGCAGTGCGAGTTAGTTTCTGAGCTGTATTTGCCAGAGCCAAACCCATTCATACCCGATAACTCTCCGCCAGACCAACGTAAGTGTCTGCATGAACAAAGTGAATTTTCACATATTTGAGTCATATTTTTTAAAATCAAATTTATATTTAGGTTTTACTTTTGTATTTCGGTGCTTTGAATTTATATGTCGGCAGTTTCAATTTGAAATTCACTTTAAGTTCATTTGTTAGATCGATGAAAAATAACTCTCTGCTCCGACAACAAGTGCAAATGATGGCAAAATCCAGTTTCAGAAGTTCATTATAGGATTGAAATTAAATTCATCTGCACTGCTTTAGTTGATGACAAACTGCCGGCAGAGGAACCCAGTGTTCCCGAGTTGGCGTACAACAGTGAATTATGTCGTCTGTGGTACAAACAGGACGATCGTTTCTTCGTTCCAAAAGCAGTGTTCGAGTTGGTGTTTCGCATCCCTATGATGCTATGGCATCCCCGCTACAACATCCTGGCCAATCTGTTCATACGACTGTTGCAAAATGACTTACAACAGTTGATATACGAAGCCGAACTGGCCGGAATATCGTCAGGAGCAGCTCATTGGCAAAACGGATTCGAACTTACTTTCAAAGGTAGTTAAATTTTTATATTTACATTTATAGATTTAATTTTGGTTAATCTACTGACCGCTGAGAAGTCACGAACGATTTCTCGTCTAGTTTTTTTAAAGGATTATGTATTTCAATCAAATTACTAAAATTTAACCTTAAATGTTGATTAGATGAAATATAAAGGTAAGTTCTTTCGTTTTCTTCATATTTACACTTGCGAGACTTCCCGTAAACAACTTTTCTTACTATATAGTTAGAAATTAAGCAATACACGCTGGTTTTCGCGTGCTGTCATGCTCAATTTCTGAGAATTCAAATATAACTACCGAGCCCTTATACGGTTAAAAGTCGATTTTTCAAATAATCTTAAAATGCAAGTTCGTTTTTATTTCTGTTTCGTTTTTCTTCCTAATTTTTGTCAACTCAATTTCCGTTTATTTTACAATAGTAGTATTACGAGGCCAAACTGTGCACTGGATAGGTGCACAATTTTGTGTCTGTATGTTCCTGGCTTCCAGAGACAAGTCTTTAAACATTTTAAAATTTTGTCGGAACGATTAAAGAGAATGAAAGAACAAAGGGAGCGTGTCCTTGTTGCGGAGTCCGCTCACAATTCACAAAATTCACTGTTTGGTCTCGTTATGAGTTTAGCTTTTCAAATGTAGTAGTTAATTTTTGATAAGTTTTTTAATCGGCTTTTTTTTCCAAAGCATGAGTTTTTATTCAGATTTAAAACGATTTTACTATAATTGAAAGTTGTTCGTGGAAAGGTTAACATTGCTAGCTATGCTTTATCGCGCATTAAAAAGTCCTGCATATCTCATTACAAGTTTCAACCAAATGAATATACGTGAACTTGCATATTCATTTCGATTAAAATGTATCTATAAAATTATAAATTATAAAATTTATTGAAAGAATATTAATCGTTGTGTAGAAATATCGCAAAAATGAGCAGTTAACTCAAGCGACTGTTTACGTTTTGAAAGCAAAGCTTAGGTTGAGAGATAATGTGTTACATATCGATGCAACGATAATTGATCAAGGAGTGTCTCGAATCACTCAAAGTTTTCGCTCTGAGCGAGGCAAATTTACTGATTAAGAAATAATTGATATCTGATTTTTCACAGGTCTGTCTGAAAAGATGGTTCTTCTGGTGAAAACAGTAGTAGACCAAATGTGCAGTTTCAACCCAGCAGACGAAGAGAAGTTCAACTCATATAAAGACCTGTACGAACGCTCTCTGCAGAACGCTCTCTTAGCCGAACCGTTCAAGCTAGCCTCCAGTCTGGCCAATTTGGCTTTACTCTCTAATTTCTACTCGGTGGAAGATATGCTTTGTACGATATCGCGATGTAACTTCGAGGCCTTGCAGTTGTTTGTACCTCAGATGTTGTCATGTGTTCACGTGGAGATTTTGGCGCATGGTAATGTGAAAAAGGAAGAGGCTATTGAACTGTGTCAGTATCTGGAGGATACTCTGAAGACAAAGAGAAACTCAAAACGTACGCAAATAGTATGTCGGGACCATGATAGTTTTTTTTTCAAATTCGCAATATTAGGTCGTGTAGTTATTGTTTTTTTTTCTCGGGAAAAGCCTTGAAAGTTGCTGGTGCTCATTTTATAAGAGTTGATGAACTTAATTCAGACTCTTGTTTAGGTCATGATTATTTGCATTTTTTTCAGGAAAAGTCTTGAAATTTGTTCAGGCTCAATTTACTTATCTGCGGTTTGACTTTAAAATTCAGTTCAGTTCCCTTGTAAAGGTCCCGAAAAACGTGATTGACTTCTAGTATCGAAAATGGTTTTTATTTTAGATTTCCCAGCAAAAAAATGTTACCTTTCGATCCAGTTTTCTCAAATTGGTATAATTTTAAAAAATGTGTCAATCATAAATTGTTTTGGAAATTCAAAGTGCTTTAAGGCCATCTATTTCTTTCTTAGAAATTCGAAAGTTGAGGTTTTTTTTAAAAAAACATCACGTCAGTAATTTTTTCTGTGCTCTTGCGTTCATTGACTTTTTTCCAACCGTCTTTTGGCTATGTTGGCGGTTACTCTTTCGATTTGTTTTGAAGTCAAATACATTTGCCAAAAGGAAGCTAAATTACACTCTCCGAAAACAGTATAATGGCGCAAAAAAAAATTCATTCTGGCTGCTCAAGTTGTAAATACAGAAAGTACCAATCTAATTTTTAAGCTTGAGATTAGCATGCGTTATCAGATAGGAACATGGATTTTTTTCGGGCAACAATTTGTGTAACAAAATAACTTGGACTAATTGTGCTGCTGACATGCTCAATTTTCTGAAAGTTCTCATTTAGCTTCTGGGCTACTTAACTACTGGTAAATGATATATCGAACATTCTTGCCATTGTATGTATTTTGATGGTTTCGATAATTTTGCTGGTGGTTTTTCGGCATCATGGCTGTCGACATAAGCTCTGCCAGTATAGTTTTCGTGTTGTGTTTGCCACTTTCATACATTACATAAATAGCTCTCTTGGATCCTATTTACCGAAAATTTTTGGTTGACTGTATATACTTGATATTTTGTGTCCTAAAAATTTGCTTGATCAGTTTTTTCCATGTTTTTTGAGATCGATAAGACCTTCTCAATACATTTTCGAGTGCTCAAAGCTACGCCCACAAAAAAATTCAATTTAAACTAGAAAAAAGTCAGTTTTTCCAAGATTTTCTAGATCCTAAATGAAAGCATCGATCGTAATCCTCTTTGCTACTTCTTGAGCTTCATACTGTTTTATATGTTTTTTATCGTAAATGGTTCGAAGCTCAGCTTCGCCTGTGTGTCCAAAAATTAGAAATAGTAAACTTTTATGCAACCTGAATAGTCGGTTTGCTTTAATGCGGGATTATTGTTTCCTCTTAGCGTTGATCTGTTTGCGCGGTTTTCAAAATGTGTTTTCTGTCTCAATAATAAAGCTCAATTAAATTGTCTGAATTGAATTGTTTCTTTCCAGAGCTTCTGATGTCTGAGAAACTATTTCGACTTCGTTGCATCCAAATACCAGACAAGAGTGAAATCATATATGGCGAGAGGAGTATAGCTCAACCTACTCATGCATTGTGCACGTACTTGCAAGTGGGACCTCAGACTGATAGAAGCAGTGCTCTAGTCGACCTCTACTGTCAGATATGCAGTGACCCTTTCACGGCTCAAGTCAGAACTCAAAAACAGGTCCGAATTATTAAGAGCAATGAACGTCGTGAAGACTCTTATAGGTATTGGTGATTTTTTAAGAGTAATGAACGTAGTGAGTACTCTTATATAGGTCTTGCTGATTTTTTTTGTTATTTTTTTCAGGAAAAGTCTTAAAGTTTGTTCAAGCTCAATTTTGATTTTTCGCGGTTTGACTTGTGATTTCTTTTTAAGCTCAGTGCATTTCCATTGTTCAAAGAAAGGCAAACTCATCTTTCGAACAGCAAAAGTGTAAAGGTCACGAAAAACGTGATCGACTTCTGATTTCGAAAATGGAAATTCATTATCACATTTCCCAGCGAAATAAAAGTAATAAAAGTTCTACGTGTTGATCCAGTTTTCTCAAGTTGGGTGAATTTTAACTAAAAAGTGTCCATCATAAATTGTTTTACAAATTCAAATAGCTTTAAGGCCATCTATTGTTTTGTCGAAATTCAAAAGTTGAAGTCTCTTGAAAAAACAAGTCAGTTTTTTTTTTCAGTTTCCTTGCGTTCATTACTTTTTTCCAACTGTTGGTTGGCTATGTTCGTTTTTTTTCCAGGAAAAAGTCATAATTTATTGACGCATAATTGTGATTTTTTGCGGTTTGACTTGTGATTTCTTTTTTAGTTCAGTGCATTTCCATTGTTAAAAGCAAAAGTGTAGAGGTCACGAAAAACGTGATCGCCTTCTAGTTTCGAAAGTGGAATTTAATTATCCCAGCGAAATGGAATCTTTACGCATTGATCCAGTTTAATATCTATCATGAAAAAATTGTCAATAATAAAATGTTCTTGAAATTCAAAGAGGTTTAAGGCTATCTGTTTTTTTTTCTTCGAAATTTGAAGGCTGAGATTTAATCAAAAAATAAGTTTTTTTTTTCTGTTTCTTTGCGTGCATTACTCTTTTGCAGCTATCAGTTGGCTATGTTTGCATTTTTATTAGCATTATGTGTTAATATAGTGTTATGCATTTGTTGGCATATTTCAAATCCAAATCAGCACGTGTGCTCAATTCAGATCTTGAACCCCTTCGAACTTAATGGAATAAGACGCAACCAAAAGTAAATTTGAGCTCTTTTTGCGCTAAAGCCCAAATCATCGATGTAGAAATCTCTGATTCAGTGTTGACTTTTTACTAGTTGGGCTATGTCATCTTCTTCAATTCCAAAAGAGTAGCCGGAATCCAAGGTAAGCTGTCGGTTGCACTAAAAACCAGTTAAAAAACCTAACAAAACAAAGATCAATTTTTTCTCGATTTTAGGTCTCTTTCTCCTGTTGCAGTCTTCCTCTCCGGTCCATGTATGTGATGCAGCTTTTGAGCAGTTCCTAGAATGTGTTCCCGTAAGTCAAACATTAGTAGTCTAATTACAACGCTTTTTTTTACAAATTTCACTTATTGGGCACCTTTATAGCTTTTTCATAGCATGTACTTTGACACTCGAATAGTAATAAGTTGACACAGTTGATGCATTTTTAATTCATCAAATGAACTGAAAAAAGTGATTTGTTTCAAACAACAACAATAATGAAAACTCGATTTGAGAAATTTTCTAACTCAATATATCTCGTAATTTTTTGAAAAGCATAATTTATACTTAATATGGCTTTATGCTTTGCAATTTGTTACATGCAAAGTTAGTGTGGATGCCTTCAGTTTGTTATATACCAAGTTGCAAAATTGAGTCTATTTGTATTTGGTGTCATTTTTACTGAATCGCAGTGGCAATTTATTAGCATATGTAGCTGCTTTATTCGTGACTAGTATTTGTCGGTTGTTAAGCTTGCGTGGCTGAGTGGATAGTGCGTAAGACTCAAAATCTCTTGATTGCAGAATGTCGCAGATTTGAATCCTACACGTAGCCGAGTTTTTGCTAATTCGAGGCTTATTTCTACTTTTTCTTATTTCACTTGATAGAGCTGATTTTTGGTCGTGTTCTCGCAACTGTTTGCGAAGCGCACCTTCGCATCTGTGTATACGCTTGAAACTCAATGTTAATTATGGCGCAATAAATTAAGAAATATAAATATGAGGTGCTATGAATAGGCAGCAAAAATCTTGCTGAGTTGAGCCGGACCATACTTATTACGCTCATCAAATGGGAAAATAAACTTTTTCCGGGTTAACAACTTATTTAACAGAATCTCTTGGTTCATAATGAATTCAAACTTTTAGGCGTCTTCGGCACACTTAGTCTGGAGGTAACGAATAAGTCTGGTACAGCAAAGTTCCTGGATTCGAATCTGACCAGGACCTGTTTTTTTTTCAAACGGGAATATTCCGTTCCAAAAAAATTGTTTGCGTAGTATTTGTCTGCTCATGTTTTTTCGGCTTAGTTGTCACATCTTAGAACTTTTTGCTGTATGCAGTTTTTATTATAGTTGCTTTCCATTTTTTCATTTACTCCTGCAATTTGTAATTCTACTAGCCTTGACTTCGTATAATTTCCTTCTTTTGCTGGAAAAAATTTTTGGACTAAATGACTTCGGTTTATTTTTTTTATCGGGTTTATAAACTAATTTTGGGTCGTTCGAGGGAACTATAATTTGTATGTTTTCCTCCGGATCGCCCATAACGTGAAAAAAATCAATAGAACTTATAGTTCGTTTTTTTATTACATTTAGCGCTCAAAAATTATTTTTGAATTATCGTTAAACGGCGTCGAATGTGTTTCTGAATGAGTTTTCCACAAAAGGAACATCGTTCCAGGAACCAATTGAAGTTTTTTTTAGTTGTGGTTTCTTTGAAAATTTTTCCGATTTATTTGGACTAAGTGGCTCTTCTTTCCTTTCATGTCTGCTAGCTTGCTATGCTATTTAAGTGGTATCGCAAGTGATGCGAAGCTCAGTTTCACCTCTGCTTATGTAAAAGTACATTTTGATATGTAAGCAAACTTCAATTGAGCCAAATTTTTCAGAGTATAATCGAGAAGTTATCGGAAGAAGAATTGGCTGATTTCAAAAAAGGTCTCGAAAAGATGTATCTGGAGCGACCTAAGAAACTATCGCAAGAAGCCTACCGATACTGGAGTGAAATCTTATCAGGGAGCTACCATTTCAAGAGGTACTCCAGTTTCGCAGAGGAACTAAGAACGCTTTCGAAACAGGAACTGATTGAGTTCCACAATAGACACGTGGCTAAAGGAGCTCCTCACAGACGAAAACTCTCGTTGGCTTATTTACCTGCCTTAAAGGAATCGGAATCTCTACCTGAAGAAGATGAAAAGAAAGGTAGGTCATGCAAAATAAATTATGGCTTGAATACATCTCAAAAAACCATGCATCAGATTCTCAACGTCTTTATAGGTGATCAACTGCCACTTTCTCAAATCTGGCTCGGCTAATTAATTTTGACATCCATTATTGTCCATTAATATAATTGCTTGCACTATATTTGAGTAGAAGTAGCTCGCTCAAGACACTAAATCATTTGAAAATTCCTGGAAATCAAAATGGGTTAGCCAAATTGAAGAACTCAACTAAAGGTCAATTTGATTTATTGAACCTGTGAGCTGAAAAAAAAAATTTTAGCCAGAAAATCATTATTGATTTCAAAAAACGTTCTCAGGAATAGTTTGTCACAAAAAATGGGTTGGAAGAAGCTGTATTAGTGGCATGGGAAGCGGGTTCTTTTCATTAAATGCTAAATATAAGCAGCTGCTGTGCAACTAGCACAGAAAGTTCCAACCACAATCTATTATATATTTAAATGCGGGCTTCACTATCTCGCCATGTTTAAGCTTTTTCAACGTATTATTTTTGCATGTTTAAGCTGTGTCGTATATTGCAATGGTTAAGAATTTTTTTTTTCGATTTTCCAATTTGATTTTTGGTGGTTATTTTATCGAGTTTAAATTAAGCAGCCCAATATCGAATTAGGGGTTGCGAATTTGGCCTCCAATTTTGAATGCCCGAATCATTTTAGTTAACGAGACAAGACGATTTTTGAGATTTTTTTACAAAATAATTTACATAACTTGAAGTTCTTAGTTCTGTAGTTGGGTGCTGTCAGATTACTCTAAGAGTAATAAATCTTGCCTCCAAATATGACTGTTCAAATCCTTGTAGTTTTCGAGATATGACGTTTTTTGTGATCTTTTTCAAAAAATTTTCAGAAAACTTATATTAAATTTTTTTTCGCAAAATCTGAAATTCCCAACCCTGTAGTTGGGTCCTGTCAGAGTATTCTCAAAGATTGCGAATCTTGCCTCCAAACATGACTGCTCAATTCGTTGCAGTTTTCGAGATATGATGTTTTTGTGATTTTTTCAAAAATTTTCAGAAAACTTAAATTATTATTTGTTTTTAAATTTCTGAAACTGCAACCCTGTAGTTGGGTCCTGTCAGAGTATTCTCAAAGATTGCGAATCTTGCCTCCAAATATGACTGCTCAATTCGTAGCAGTTTTCGAGATATGATGTTTTTGTGATTTTTTCAAAAATTTTCAGAAAACTTCAATTATTATTAGTTTTTAAAAATCTGAAACTCGCAACCCTGTAGTTGGGTCCTGTCAGAGTATTCTCAAAGATTGCGAATCTTGCCTCCAAATATGACTGCTCAATTCGCTGCAGTTTTCGAGATATGATGTTTTTGTGATTTTTTCAAAAATTTTCAGAAAACTTCAATTATTATTAGTTTTTAAAAATCTGAAACTCGCAACCCTGTAGTTGGGTCCTGTCAGAGTATTCTCAAAGATTGTGAATCTTGCCTCCAAATATGGCTGCTTAATTCTTTGTAGTTTTCGAGATATGACGTTTTCTGTGATTTTTTCAAAAAAAATTTTCAGATAACTTATGTTAATTTTTTTTTCGTATAATCTGAAATTCCCAACCCTATAAGTGGGTCCTGTCAGAGTATTCTCAAAGATTGCGAATCTTGCCCCCAAATATGACTGCTCAATTCTTTGTAGTTTCTGAGATATGACGTTTTTTGTGATTTTTTCAAAAATTTTCAGAAAACTTCAGAAAGTTTAAATTAATTATTTTTCGAAATTTGAAATTTCCAACGCTATAGTTCGGTGTTGCCAGGGTACTCTAAAGAGTTGCAAATCTTGCCACATGCGACTGCTAAACGCGACTGCTCAAATGCTTTTAGTTTCCGAGGTGTGACGTTTTTTGATTTTTTCAAAATTTCTGGAAGAACAGATCTACAAAGAAATTCAAAAAAAATTGAAACTACTAATTTGATGAAGATACAACCTTTTTTTGTCAGCGTACACCTAGGAGTCTCAAATCTTGCCTCTTAATATGAATGCTCAAATCCTTTTAGTTTCCGAGATAAGACGTTTTTTTTTTATTTTTTTTTTTCGGGAAACTCTGGTTTAAAAAAGTTCACAAAATTTTGGATTCCTAACCCTATAGTAGGGTGCTCTCAGGGACTCTCAGTGGTTGCAAATCTGGCCTCCAAATTTCTCCAGAGGCCCATTAAGTTTTCGAGATGACGCTTTTAAAATGGGAATAAAAAAAATAAAGGTTCGAAATTACACACCCTGTAATTGGGTGCAATCAGAGTACACTAAAAGTTTGCAGATGTTGTTTCCAATATATGCGGTTTTTCATGAGCTGTCGAGAAATTTCGAAGCACCGAAGGTGCATTAAACGCTAGTAATAGTGAAAACTATGAAAAAAAACACCAAGTTTTTTCTTCAAATTGTGTTGTTTTGGTTTGTGGTGTGATGAGAGTTCAATTCAAGTTTATTTGCTAGAAGGCAGGCAAAATGCACTCTCCAATTATGATAGATGAAATGACCTGAATCGATTGCTAGTTTAGAAAGTGGTATTTAATTTCTGGATTTACCAGCGGAACAAAAACTTCTCTTAATTAACCAGTGGTCTCAAATGGGTTAATTTTATCAAGAAGGTGCCAATCATAAATTGGTTTTTGAAGTTGGAGATTGAATTTTACCTTGCTATTGGAAGTTTTTTCAAAAAACAATTCAATTTTTTGTTTCTTTGCGTTCATTGACCTTTTTCCAACTGTCTGTTGGCTATATTTCCTGCTGTATGTTGGCTGTGTTTGTTTTACTGCTTTCCAAATTGATATAGAAATCAATCTAAAGTTTTAATTGAATGTTAAGATTTGTTGAAAGTTTTCGATTTAGATGTAGGCGCTGTGTTTGCCGAGCTTGCAAAATGCGGAAGTCCAGATTGGCTGCCGAATGGAGCTCAGATAGGTGTTCAAATGGAACTGTGTTCTGAGTCGAATGTGGACAGCGGTGAAACTGAAATAGGACCTGCGGGAGACTTGCCGTCTAAAGTCAATGGATTGTCACTCGAACATGAGTCATCAGGCGACAAGAAAAATGAGATATTTGAGGTGGTCACGTGTCTGGACCGATTGAAGTCTAAACTGAGTTTCTACCCAGTCACTCAACCTCGATTAGACTTCGAAGTCAAATGAGGTTTTGGTGAAATGGTGTGTCGCAATTTTATTCGTCCAAGTGCGAAAAATGCATCGATGTTAAGCTAACCTAATCAATCCTCTCTTCATGGTGCTCAAAGAGTTAAGCAGTAATCTTGTAACTAATTTGGGTGTTCAGTCATCAAATTTTTCTCATAATCGCTATCATAAATAGATAGATAGTAATGTTTAGGGCATTCTGTAAAGCTCAATGTGTAACTGCCATGGCTCTCAAATGAGCAAGAAAACTGTTAATATATATAATCTTTCAATTTTTAGTTTATATATAAAGTTGAAATTTTTTGAAATTTATTTGAATATAATTATTTTTAAAAGGTCGTAGTTTTCGGTTGAAGCTTTTAAAAGAAAGGCACTGATAATTTTGGGAAATCTGAATTGAACGATGTAAAGGATGCTTCAGTAAGTTTTAAAATGTCATGGACCAGGTGGTAATTTTTTTTTAACCTGGAAAAAATTGTTCACTCAAATTTCTGGCTTCGTGATCCATTGTCAAGTTTTCTTTTGGAAGTTCATTAGAGAAATTACGCTCCCCAACTCCATTTTTAGATTTCCCAGAAAAATAAATAAATTTCGATTGATCTAGTTTTAACACATTTGAAGCGTAGTGTAATAATATGATGCATTTTTTTTAAACCTTAGTCGCAAATAAAAATTCATTTGTTAAGACCTTGTTTCAAAGTTATTATTTTTTGGCATGAAGTTATACTCCTTTTTCTTTCTTGGTTTTTCTTGCGCCAAGTACTCAAGGCTGTTTATACGAGTAGATAAACTACATTGAATTTGTTCAGGCTCAAATTTCCTTTTTCGAGGTTTGACTGTGATTTCTTTTCAAGTTCAGTGCGTTTCCATTGTCAAAAGGAAGGTTAACTCCACTATGGAACAGCAAAAGTGTAAAGGTTACGAAAAACGTGATCGAATTTTATCCTCGAAAGTTGAATTTAATTTTCAGATTTTCTAGTGAAATGAAAATTTTACTCAGTGATCCAACTTGCTTAAATTGGGTCAACTTATTCAAATAAGTACCAATATCAAATTGTTCTTGAACTTCAAAGAGCTCTAAAGGCATCTTTTTTTTTGTTTGAAATTCGAAAGTTTTTCAAAAACCAGGCAGTATTTTTTTGTTTACTTGCGTTCATTGACTCTTTTCCAACTGTCTGTGGGCAATGTTTAAGTTTTGAGACTCATGTCGCACTCTCCTTGTGTCTCCTTAGGGTTACTTTTGAATCTGTACAATTTTTTCATAAAAGGTTTATAACAAGGTATCTCGTCCCTTGCTAGGACACTAGTTTTCTCCAAGCGACCGTGGCACAAATGGATGGTTTTGTGACATTGCATTTTTGCCGCTTAGCTTTGGGAGTTAAATAGCAACTTGAGCTGCTTATTTGGTAGCTAGTAATAGGTAATTTTGACGCAACCGTGTCCCATAATGAAGGACTAAGACTCTACGTCGACAATTCGACTCCGACTCATAGCAACAGTTTTGTTTTTCAAGGACAGTCAGGCCTGTTTTTTCCTAATTGACTTTTTTTTTGTTCTTTTAGAGCTACTTTTGCCGTTTTCTCGCTTGTGTTTGTGAAGTCAGTTTCGCCTCTGCTTTCAATTTAGTTCAGTTCTATAAGATCAATAAAAAATGTTTAATTCGAAAGAACTTAGATTGATGAATTTTTTTGAAGTTGAAAGACAGAAAAGTTTTCACAAAAAATTCGTCATTCTAGGTTTTTTTCATTTGGTTTTTGAACTCAGTAGCATTTTTATCACGTTTTTGGTTTAGTTTTGTTGGTTATTTCTTGTTTACTCTTGCGAGTAGCAAGCGTTATCAAATCGGAATGTAGACTTTTTTCGGGTTAACTAGTTAAACAAAATCAGTTGAATCACTGCTGACATGCTCAATTTCAGGAAAGTTTAACTTCTGGGTGGGTAATAGTTACTACAAGGTAGTTTCAAGGAGGACTTTAATTTTTTTAACGTTTTTTTTAATGTTTTTTTTTACAAAATTAGTTATTTTTGGCCCAACTGGTGTCTGCTCAAAGATTGTCGGCCTTGTTTCCGCTTCGTAAGTTTTTTTCAGTTGCTAATTTGAATTTCAAATTTCTTGCTCGGCATGTTTGCCTAGTTTTCTTGTTTGATATAAATAAGTATTATGAAAATGTATTGGATTATTTTTTTAACTTTTAAAGACGCTTTGGATTGTCTTTTTCTGTTTAGCAAATTTTTTTTTTTCAAAAAAGCGGTATCCATAGAAAGACCGTCTGCATTTTTGTGTGCTGCAAACCACCTTGGTCTCTTTTTGTCTTACTAATTTGTCCAGCCTTCGGAAAGTCTGTGGGGGAATATTTGACCGATATTTTTGATTTTTTTTTTTCGTTTTCTCACACTAGCCTATCCCATCTGGAATTTTGGTTTCCATGAATGCAACGGATTTTCTTAAAAACTAACACAGAAATCTGAAATGAAAAATTCAATCGAACGAAGCGGTGCTCAACTTTTCCTGTAGAAGCACCTACTCCTTAATTTTTTGTAAGAGAAAGGTTATTTCGTTCGGAAATTTCCAAAAATCTCAAAAATGTTCGTTCTTTTCACTTATTTTAGTAGAGAAAGAACAATTGTTTTGGGCACTCAATTTTTTTGAAATTGCGCATTTCGTCCCGCATCAGTATTAAAATTTCAAAAATATCAAAAACGTACCTCCAGCTTTAGCTGGGCCTTAGGAATTCTTGATCGAAACGTATCAAATTTTTGGTTCACTTAGTTTTCATTTTTTTCACCATTTTTCGTTTTATTTCGGTATGCTTTTTAACCCTTACGTCGAGCAAAGGTTTTGCAATCGGGCTACTAGAATTTTTTCCTTGTCAGAATGGTCAAAATTAGAAATGGTAAATTGAAGTTCAGTTCATAATGAATTCAATTCGTTTGTCTCCGGCACACTTGGTCTGGAGGTAACGAATGAGTCTGGGACGGAAAAGTTCCTGAGTTCGAATCTGGCAGGACCAGTTTTTTTTTTTCAAACGGAAATAGTCCGTCTCAAAAAACAAGTGACAGCTGATTATTGTTTGCTCGTTTTTTCGGCTTAGTTGCCTTATTGTCGAATTGCTTTTTTTTTGTAATTTTTATACATTATAGTTGCTTTGTGTAGTGATTTACCTCTACTGTTTGGAATTTTACTAGCCTTGACTTCGTATATTTTTTTGGTTTTTTTCGCCCATAAACTTTATTCTGTCCAAATGATTTCGGCCTTTTTTTATTGGCTTAGTGACCTAATTGTGAGTCGCTTAAACGTTTCACCTCTGGATCGCATAAAATGCTAAACATCTTAATAGAAATTTTAGTTAAAAGTTTTCATGACAATAATTTTTTTTCGACTTGGTTTTTCCTTTTTTCGGCTCGATAGGTTTCGGGCTATTTTATATCAGCTTGTTGGCGTCATTTTGCCTCTTTCAACGAGCTAAAAAAAGTTTGTGTGTGCGTGTCTTGTGTTTTGAGGTTGAGGCGGACCTAATAACTTCCTATTAGTGTTCAGTTTTTGATTTTTTTTGCGGCTTGGTATGTTTTTTTTTCTTCAAAATTTGCCTTATTCATTTTGATAGATCCAGTTTTTTCGACATTTTCGATTTTTTTTTCTTCAATTATTTTCTCATTTTGTATGGCAAGTGGTGCGAAGCTCCGCTTCGACTCTGTGTTATTCCTAAAACAAGAACTTTTGCTCATTTTTCTGTTGATGCTGAAATTGAGCTCAAACTATGCCCCTCAAAATTAAAAGCAGAATTGCTGGAAATATGGTGTTTGAACTTTGCATTAATATGTTATTAAGGTTTGCAAAGAGCACGCGTTAGGACTTCGCATGTTTTTGATGGTTATTTTTGGCATTAAAAAAATCCAGTTCTTCGTTTGTCCCAAATTTTGATGAGCTTTTTGACAAACAGACGGTTGTGTCACTAGTCCTTGTAATTTTTGTTGAAACCTAAGTCCGACATTTACAATAAAATGTAATAAATTACATTTTCAGAACATCCACCTTGTTGCTTGGATTTTATTAAAAAGTAGCAGACACAATGAATGGGCATTATAGAAGCGGATGAATCAAAAGCTACTGAATCGATTGCTATTTTGAATTTGATATCTGTTTAGTGTTCAAATTCTTACTTGCGAGCGGATAAGTAACATGTGTTTTATCGGCTTTTTAAAAGCCGATTCATTGTTTATACTATTGTTTTTGAAAAATTTAATTGGAATTCAATTTAATTAAGCTTAAATTGATAATTACTGACCATGAAAACGACACAAAATTGGGGGAAGAAATTAAAAATTGAATGTAAAATAGATTTGTTGCAAATATTTTCCATTTTTATGCTTAAATTACCGTGTTCGAACCGCTTTGTGCTTCTTGCGTATTAACATCCTAAAATGGTGAAATTGGATTATTTATCATAAAAAGAGTGAATCATAGAAAATTCTAGAAAGATAAAAGCTCAGTTCATGAAATACGTTAGTTCAAATACGTTTACCACTGGTCTTCGTGAAACAGGGCTCTATATATTATGGCTCAGTGATTCAATTGGATGTGACGCGGATTTTAAGTAATTTTAGCTAATTTATATACCAATGTTGTCATTTTTCCATTTATTTGAATTAAATTTTTTGGACATTGCGCACAGGTCGAAGTTTCTAAGTTTTAGGAATTTCATCAGTCAGAAAACATCAAAATCCACTTCATGCAGGATTTTGATGTCATTAAGGCTGTACAGTTTTGTTTACTCTCTTTGTTTCTTCATTGGAGTATGGTATCAGAAGTTTATCAGCTCTCGTGTGTTGCTAGTCAAAGGCTGTGTTTCAATACATGGGTGATTGACCTTATTTGTAGATCCAATATTGATCTCCCAGGCAGTTTTAAACTTACTTAAGTGTCGTTTTGTTATGTTTTGTATATTTTCTGTCTGAAAATAATTCATTTTTATGATTTGCATGATGCTAATGGTTTTCAGGTACATATGCACTTTCAGTTTGTCATCCTCACAATAGCTAAGAACACCTCTGTATGTAGATATAATTGGCATATATTTACACATTTATTGCGACAACTAGCGTACCGGCACCAAAATTTGAATACCTCAAACGTCAGCCGTGACTGCTAAAAACTTCAGGTCAAACGTTGACAGTCGAAAACTGAGGACGAATGTTCAACAGACCCTGAAATTCAACTGAAGTTTCGTAGCTTTATAATTTAAACTTATCCATATTAATCTTCCTTATTTAGTAAATTTCTTGACATGTTCATTGGTATGCTGTCACAGCTGTGATGTGGTAATTGAAATTCCGATATAGCCAATAGTTTGATGGTTAGTCAACCTTGAAGTAATAACGTTTTATCTCAACGAATTCAACTTCATGAACTAAGTTCGTTACAAATATACATTTCTGTTTGCAAAATTATTGAATAGTTGTAATAGTTTCTATTTTGCGCATTACGTCACAGTTTGTTGGTTTAGATATATTAAAAAAAAGATTTTTTCAAAGTTAATCAAGTTACAACAAAACAGTATATGAATGAATGCTATTACTACTATGCATCATTTGATGTGGTAATAAAAATTTATATTTGTTAAAATTGGTGCGGATATTGGACATCATATATACTGACTACCTTTGAACCTTTTGATTTGAATTGTGTTAAATGACGAGTCACAATAATCCAGTTATAACCTAGTTATAAACCACTACCATTTTCTCCCTGAAAAGCCCTTTCGGTAGTACCCTTATTGGCTTGAAGGTTTTATAGGTCTGATCTAATTTGTATAGCTATACACCAGACTCTGTTGTTGTTACTTACGTTACCTGTCCTGTTTTCCTCTGCTGTTTCATATACCATTTGACACTTGTGTTACCATCCAAGTTGCAGTTACCATTGCAGCCTCTACAAATTATAAATAGCCAGCAGTCGGATCAGAATTGTATAATTTGTGCTTTGTAGCAAAATAGGTTTCAGCCTTACAGTACTATTACTCTGCCCTTAGAGTCTCAAATTTGATCATTTGCTTCCTTATTTTGACTTATTGCCACTGTTAACATTTTTACACCTGAATTGAGTAGCTTAAACGTTATTAGATTCATATCTGATTGACCTTAGGAATACAAGAAGATATATTTATTTGACCTCTTGACCCCCCGAAGGGCTGAGTTATGGCCTCACAGTTTCAACCTGGAACTTCAAATCCTCAAAGTGAGGTGGAGATCAGCGTGTCCTGCAGGTAAATAGTCTACGTGAATTTTGTTCACAAGAAATGAGGTATCGCAGTTTGTAACTGGTTGTTACGCTAGCTTGAATTTATTTTTTTCCATTCAACCATATGATTTTGATAATCATTTGCTTGTGATGTTATGTTAACCTGCTTATTTTCCGGACATCGAACATTAGATTTTAGTGAATTTAGTCATTTCATCAATTCTGAATTCGATTTCCAATATTGCAGCTAAGTTTAACCAATAAAGAAAGCAACTTTGAACGAAAGGGGTATTAAATGGAACTTTTAATCGCTGGATACTACCGTAGATTTTCTGAGCATTATAAAATCATGAAATATATTTACACCTGCGAGACTAGTCATTTTCCATGTAAAGAACGTTTCTTATAAATCTGTAAGAATTTGGAACTTGCTTTTTTATTGAACTTTAACAACTCATAGTCTCCTTTCCACGTGGTTTGAAGGTACGCTTTGCACCAAAAAACTTATTATTTTAAGAAAAAGATTTCAGATCGGATGTTGAAAGGAAGCTCATTATTTTTTTGAAAAAAAAATCAGATCGGTTGTGGAGTAGAAGTGCAAAGTTTTTAAAATTAATGACTAAAAAAATTTATGACTGAAAGAAAAAACTAGATCAAACAAGAATAGCCGGTTAGTGCGCAAGTAGCACAGAATGTTCCGACCATAGTCTTTAGAAAACTACGGTTCAGAAAGTTTTTTTTTCAAATTAGTGTAGTTTCTGCTTGGTGTGATAAAAGGATCTGACGTAAAAGTATAATTTAGGTATATTATACAGTCATAGTAATTAAGGCAAATTGGACATAAATTTTTGTAGAAAATTGACTAGAAAAGCTTTAAAAATAATGAAGTTTTTGTTTTTAATTTTTTTGCAAGAAAGTTTTTGGTTCACAAAATGAAGCTGAAAAACTCCAAAAACTAGTTTTAGCTGCTTAAAATTAAGTTTTAAGGCCTAAATTAGGCATAGTTCAGCTGTTGTAAACCTGCTCACTCCTTTTAGATGAAAAATCAATAATTTCGAACCGGTTTTTCTCGACCTAGAATATTTTTTTGGGAATGTTCAAGGTGGTTCGAATCACGATTGAAAGGGCTTTAATATGATATATCACCCAACCCAGTCCGATGATTATTTGTGGTACCTGAGATTGCGTGGAAAACCAAAAAAGAAAAAAAACTAAAACACCCGAATACTAAGTTCCTCCCCATTTTCACTGGTCGGAACAAAAGCAAATTCTTTTTTTTTCAGGAATCTCAAAGACGCCGATGTCTTCTCCAAATCAGATCCAAGTTAGTACTCAGCAATCTATCATGTTTTGTTGCTGTCCACGTGTAATTTGTTCTTTGAACGTGTACGTGTTGTTTTAGTGGTTGTGGTGTTTGTGCAAGACTTCGGGAAAACTTCCTGGCGAGAGGTATTTTTTTTGTTTGTTAACGTTATATTACGAGAATTGTTGAATCATGCAACAAGTTCGAGCGGAGTCAAACCTTCGCTTAGCTTTGAAGATAAAAATTGAAATGATACCTGGTAAAGATTATTTTCATTTTAACATGAAGTTTTCCTTGTATTTAAGCTAATGAAGTAAACATCTCACTGGTAATTGTAAGAGATCTTATCGAGTAGCTTTGCATAGAAAATCTTATAGAAAAATAAAGCGTCCAATTTTTGAACGCTGCAGCATGTTACTTGTCTTTTGAAATGCATCCTTTTATTTACACTTGCGAGAGCAAGTGTCTTTTAATCGGGAACTAGAGTTTTTCCCGTAAACAACTTTTTTCTTTTCAAGAAATTGAACTTGCTTCATTATTCAACCTTAACAACCTCCAGGTTCCTTTTCTTTGCCTTTGGCCTGAATGTAACGCGGTCGCTTGTGCACCCTAAGTTTCGAGTTCCCTTAGGGCTTTGTTTTCGCTTCATAAGTTTTTTTCCATTACTACTTAGAATTTCAATTGTTTTACTTGCCATGTTTGCCTGGAATTCTTGTTTGATAAAAGCAGCTATTATGAAAATGTATGTGATTGGGTTTTTTTAACTAGCGTCAGCTTAGTGTGGTATTACGAACCTTTTTTTTCTAACCTAACTCGCAAATAAAAGTGTTACTCATTTGGAAACTTCACTGTAAAATTGGAAAATGCATAGGATCTGTTCTCTGCTTTATTTGTGCTGGCTATTTTTTAATCTTCTATCTACTATTAAGCTTCCGTAGCTGAGTGCTTAGTGTGTTTGACTCTTAATCTCAAGGTGGCAGGTTTGAATCTCAGACATAGCCGACTTTTTGCTAATTCGAGGCTTATTTATACCTTTTCTAATTGCATTTGTTAAAGCTGCTTTTTGTCGTGTTCTCGCTAGTTTGCGAAGCAAAGCTTCGCCTTTTTGTGAAAAATTATTATAAGACGTTTTGGATTGTTTTTTCTTTTAGCATGGATTGTTTTTTCTTCAAGCAAAAATGTTGTTTTTCTCAAAGCTTCTCTGCTAATTTTCAAAAAAAGGGATATTAATGGAAAAACTGCTTAATCCCTGGAGAGCCTGGATAATCCTTTAGCCTCTTTATAAATTACTACACTGTCTACAGCCTTCGAAAAAGTCTGTGGGGAAAATGTTTGACCCATATTTTTTGGAATTTTATCGTTTTTTGAAAATGTGTTTCCCAAAACTGATTTTTTAGGCTAATTGGATAGAAATGTTGTTGGAAGCTCCCCCGCGGAAGCGGCAGCGCACACTTTTTGCGCATAAATTTTTGGCCCCAGAAAAACGACTCTTCCAAATCTGAGATTTTGGGAACGGGTATTGGGAACTTCTGCAGTGGCGGTTTCTCCCAAATTTGTCTACACCAGAAATTATCGCTCTCGGAAAAGTCAAATTTTGAAGCTTTGAATTTTCTCAAAACCTACCTTATCAATTTTGACATTTTGGTTTCAAATCATAGAACTTTTTACGCGAAATTTAATGGCTCTCGGAAAAATCGAAGTTTAGATTTTTGTCCGTTTTTTTTGAGTAGCCTGTTCTGCTTCTGCATAAGCAGCTAATCGTAATTTTTTTAACGGAAAAAACTATGATTTTCGAAAAAGTCTAGTCGAGTTTTTTACCTAATTTTTTATAAGAGAAAATCTATTATATATTTAAATGCGGGCTTCACTATCTCGCCATGTTTAAGCTTTTTCAACGTATTATTTTTGCATGTTTAAGCTATATCGTATATTGCAATGGTTAAGAATTTTTTTCGATTTTCCAATTTGATTTTAGTGGTTACTTAACCGAGTTTCAATTAAGCAGCCCAATATCGAACTAGGGGTTGCGAATTTGGCCTCCAATTTTGAATGCCCGAATCATTTTAGTTAACGAAATAAGCCGATTTTTGAGATTTTTTCAGAAATTTCAAATGAAATAATTTACAAAACTTGAAGTTCCCAACCCTGTACTTGGGTGCTGTCAGAATGCACTAAGGAATTTACAAATCTTGCCTCCAAATATGACTGCTCAATTCTTTGTAGTTTTCGAGATTTGATGATTTTTGTGATTTTTTCAAAAATTTTCAGAAAACCTAAATTATGATTATATTATAAAAATCTCAAATTCCCAACCCTGTAGTTGGGTACTGTCAGAGTACTATAAAGGATCGCGAATCTTGCCTCCTAATATGACTGCTCAAATCCTTGTAGTTTTCGAGATTTGATGATTTTTGTGATTTTTTCATAAATTCTCAGAAAATTTTAATTGAATATTTCTCAAAATTTGAAATTCCCAACCCTGTAGTTGCGTGCTGTCAGAGTACTCTAAGGAATTACAAATCTTGCCTCCAAATCTGACTGTTCAAATCCTTGTAGTTTTCGAAGTATGGCGTTTTTTGTGATTTTTTCAAAAAATTTTCAGAAAACTTATTTTAATTTTTTTTCGCAAAGTCTGAAACTCCCAACCCTGTAGTTTGGTCCTGTCAGAGTAATCTCAAAAGTTGCGAATCTTGCCTCCAAATATGACTGCTCAATTCTTTGTAGTTTTCGAGATGTGACGTCTTTTGTGATTTTTTAAAATTTTCATAAAGTTCAAAATTAATTATTTTTCAAATTTTGAAATTCCCAACGCTATAGTTCGGTGTTGTCAGGGTACTCTAAAGAGTTGCAAATCTTGCCACATGCGAATGCTAAATGCGACTGCTCAAATTATTTTAGTTTCCTAGATGTGACGTTTTTTTATTTTTTTAAAATTTCTCAAAAAACTTATCTACAAAGAAATTCAAAAAATTTGAAACTACTAACTTGATGAAGAAACAACCTTTTTGTCAGCGTACATCCAGGCGTCTCAAATCTTGCCTCTTAATATGAATGCTCAAATCTTTTTAGTTTCGGAGATAAGACGTTTTTTTTTCAATTTTTTTTCGGGAATTTTAGGTTTAAAAAAATTCACAATTTTTTGGATTCCTAACCCTATAGTAGGGTGCTTTCAAGGACTCTCAGTGGTTGAAAATCTGGTCCCCAAAGTTCCCCAGAGGCCCATTAAGTTTTCGAGATGACGCTTTTAAAATGGGAATTTAAAAAAAATTTAAAGTTCGAAATTACCAACCCTGTAATTGGGTGCAGTCAGAGTACATTAAAAGTTTGCAGATGTTGTTTCCAATATATGCGGTTTTTTATGAGTTGTCGAGCAATTTCGAAGCACCGAAGGTGCGTTAAACGCTAGTTTTTTGTAAAAGAAAGGAAAGTTCCAAGGATAAAAGGAAAGTTCTAATTTCTCAAAAATTTTCGCTCTTATTTAGTAGAGAAACCACTAAGGTTTTGGCTAAAGCCCAATTCTGAAATTGCTTGTTTCATCCTCCAGTAGTTTTCTAGTTTTCAGACCCCCTTTTTTATCGAGACATTCGAAAACTTGGTTCACCAATTTTTTTTTAAATCGAGATTTTTTATATTTTATAACTTTTTGGCTTTTCATGTTTTTTAATGTTTGTCTTGTTTCGCAAGTGACGGGAAGCTCCGCTTCTCCTCTGTGGCGTAAATTTGAATCTAGGTCAATTGGGTGTTATACGAGTGAGTTTTTTAGCTGGGCCGTACGGAATGCATAGACAATAATTTGAACCCGGACTTCGTGAAGAAGTTTCAGATGACCTACTACTTTGAGGAGAGGCAAAACCTCAAGTTTGAAGTGTAAGTAAAAATAGATCATCGCAGCTTGAAAGCAAGGTTTGTGGTAGCAGAAATGAAGGGTAATGAAGTTGTTTTCTGCGTTTTAGTTTCTTGGCTGTTGGACCTCTAAAAAGTTATAATTTCAATGTTATTTATTGATGTTTAGATATGACATTGATTCCAACAGTAGAAAACTCTCAGACCACGTGAGTTTCACAGACACACTTTATGCTATTTTTCGCCGAATATTAAAGAAACTCAACTGTTGCTTATCTGGCATTTTGAATATAGCTCTGAGATTCCAGGACTTATGCCTATTTTTCAGGACTTTGCTGGCAAGGCAGAGTTCCTGCTGGGTGAGATTTTGGCAGCCCCGGGAGGATCGGCACAGAAGCGACTGAGGTGCGTCCCCTTTTTTACTCCTCCCCTATCCTACTTCTTGCCCCTATCTCTCGTTCTTTCGTATAGTGCACTGTGCAACATAAATTGTCTCATTCTACTGGCAACCGTCTTGTTAGATTTTGATGCACTGCGCTTTGTGGTTTCTGTAGTGCTTGTATTGAAATATTGAGTGGATTGCTAGTTGAAAGTTATTGATGGTTAATTGTTGATGTTTAAAACTACATATCTGGGGAGTGTGCGATTCGTGTCCTGGCCCTAATCTTACTGTTTTTTACCTCGAGTTTGCTTTCTTGCTTAAAGTGTAACTTGTATTGCATTATTATTATTTTTAATATAAAAGTAATTCAAATATTGGTCTGTCCATTTTGACACCTCAGTTGCTTCTGCTGCCAAACTCCACGCAAGTCCTCAAAAAAACTCTCTTCCAGCCGCAAATTCTATCACTCCATTTTAATGCTCAAATCAGGAAGAGCATTTGAATTCAGTTGCTCATTTTCTTGCTTAATTGGTGCTAGGACTTCCTCGGAAGAGCCTTTACTGACCTGGGCCAGATTGTGACCAACACGAAGGGCTGGACCATCCTCAAACTGAGGTCAGTCTCTCTAGTCAAACTCAAACAATCGTTCGCCATACCTTGTTTCTTTCGATGAGATTATTTTCAACCACATGTATCTACTACAGCCGACAGACTAAAACGGGTTGTTTTCTTTTTCATTGTATTTTGAATTTCCAAATTTTCTCAATTTGAATCACTTTTCCTTTACCTAATACGTTGAATCAAATACCTATATTTCTATTCTAAGACTAAATTCTTTTGGCTTTTCTCTGAATTTTTGGACTTCGTGTTGCTTACGTGACTTGACCTGGTCTGGTTTGGGCTAACTGTGTTGCGTGTCTGTTGTATAGTGAGTCGGAGGTGCAGCAGAAGCAACCCACAATTAATGACCATAGCTACTTTTTGTAAGTGAATCCTTCCTTAATTGTTAACTCATTGTTTTCGCTGTTTTCAAATACTTGATTCTGATTGGCTAAAAATTCCACCTGATAACGAAGTTAACACCCCCCTCTTAAAACTTTTTAGGGGTAGGATGTTAACTTGGTCCAATATATCAAGTTTCATCCACCGTTTCTAATAATAATTTAATGTACTTGATGTCAGGGGCGGATTCAGGAACTTGGCGCCTCCGAATACCAAATACTAGATTTTCTCAAAGGGCTCTTTCGGCACTGGTATCTCTGCACTTGAATTCAAAAAAAATTAAGGTGTGTGAAAAGTCCCCCCTCCCACGCAGATACAGAAAAATACTTAATCCGCCTCTGCTTGATACTTGATGTTTTTCTGTTTGCGATTTTGTTTTCTTGTATTGGGTTGGAAATCGTCTTGTACGGTGGATGTTAATCAATGTGCTTTAATTCTGTGATAGATGATGCATGGTATTCTGATGCTTCGTTTGCTTATTCCAGCTTTTTGTGTATAAACATAACTTTATGTAACTAACAGTTCTCACGAACTAGGAGCCTTGTGGGTAACGAATTTATCTAACTAAGTTTTTTTGAAAAAACTGATTTATATTTCATCCGGATCTTGATTTCTATCTTGTTGAAATTAGATCAGGTCTTCTTCGATAAAAATAGTATCGATCATAAGTTTTCACAGTTCGGTTGACCTTTTTTAGTGGTCCGGGAGTGAACCAGGGTACCATTTTGATCCGAGCGGAGGAGTTGAGTTCGTGCAAAGACGTCTGTTTCATAGACGCCAGTGGGAAGGGCCTGGACAAGATGGACTGGGGCTTGTCCAAGAGTGACCCCTACCTAGAGTTCTTAAGATGCAACGAGGACAACTCGTTAGTACCACAAGAGAATGTTTATACAAAAGTAAATAGGGCATAAAGGTGGCTACGTTTTCAAAGGGCGTAAAGGTGGCTACGTGGTTCTCCGCGTGTTTGCTGTTGTCATTTATCTGATAAGAATATTGTTACAGAACATTTGCTTCAAAGTTCAATCCCAATGAAGTGTAGTTTTATATTAGTTTGAGTGCTTGGCCCGTATTCTTAAATGGCTACATCATCCTTCTGAACTTGTTTTGAAGCAAATTTGTGGGTTTCCTTAAAGTCCATGAAGAATACTTTTTCTAACGGTATGTCAATAAAGTCTTCCGTTTTAGTTTTACAGTAGTGCACCGGACGGAAGTGTGTAAGAACACTCTGAACCCTAACTGGCCCCCATTTGAGGTGAAGAGTCAGACACTGTGTAATGGAGACATAGACAGAACTGTCAAGGTCATCTGCTACGACTGGAACAGCAGTGGGAAGTACGTCTCAAATAATGAATTTGTATCCGGTTTTCAAATAGTCAGAAACGTCCTTTTTCTTTTCCATACTAGTGCATTTTAGTCTGCAAAAACTTTAAAGCTTTCTCAAAGCTACAAGTCCAAGCCTGGTACAAAATTCGAATCTTTTCTTGGATTGAATCTATCATTGCCTCTGTTTTAGAGTAGATTACATGGGCGAGTTTGAGACTTGTGTACGACGGATATCCGAGGGCAATGCACAAAACACGTACGAAGTGAGTTGAGTTTTCTTATCTGAAGCATCTCAGTTTTGACCTCATCCATAGTTTATTCTTAGCTGGTGTGATTTGTTCATCAGACTTAGTTTTTTTTGTTTGCAGCTAATCAATAAAGAGAAGCAGAAGAAAAAGAAGAGCTACAAAAACTCTGGAACAGTAAGTTCTATGACGTATAAATACATTAATAAGGTGTAAAAAAAGTCTCACTAAATAATATATAGTGTTTTTTTCTTAGATTACTTTCAACAGATGTGGGGTCAAGAAAGTGCACTCTTTCCTGGACTACATTGCTGGAGGGTTAGTTCTATTGCGATTCTACGGAAAACTAATAACTGATTCAAATCAAGGCCAAGAGTGCTGCTAATTTGAATGCAGGTCAAAGCGGCCACGAAAAAAATTCAACCAGACTGTTGCTCCTAGACCGTGAAATTTGCTAGCACTTCCTAGTTTGCTCGCTTGTGCCACCTATCTTAATTGTTTTTGGCACTTTTTTCGTTTTAAGTACAGTTTTTACAATGGAGTCTTTTCAGCACTCAACTGTCGTTTACTGTGGCGATTGACTTCACAGCGAGCAATGGGGATCCGAGGAACTTCCAGAGTCTACACTATCTCGACTCGTCCAGACCCAACCACTACGCCACTGCACTCATGAGTGTGGGCCAGGTCGTCGAGCAGTATGACACGTAAGTTGCCCAAAGTGCTGTTGATATAATTGTAAGATGATCGCTACACTTGCTATTATCAATTAATTTCTGCCAAGGGTCATTGTTTCGGGTACTAGATTTTTGCCTGCTAATAACATATCAAACCGAGAAGCGCGTAGTTGTCCATTCGTACTGGGTGGTGAAATAATACCCATGTATAGAAATGCTTGGTTTTTATAAGCATGTATGAAACCTAAAAATACTGGTCCTTCAAACACAGGCTAGTTACCTGTGAAGATAATTGTTGAAGAATAATTAATGGCGAATTGTTTTTACACTAGAGAATTTAATGAGCGCTAACCTACGTAGCAAATATTAGTACCACTTTTCGGGTTCCTTTGCGGCTTTTTTATAGCATGTGCTATGATATTCGAATAGTAAAAAGTTAACACAGTTGATACATTTTTTAGCTCATCAAATAAACCGAAAAAAAAAGCTTTTTGCTTCAAACAACCTGACAATAAAAACTCGATTTCAGAAATTTTCCAACTCAATTTTTGAAATGCATAATTTATACATAATGTGGCTTATGCGTTTCAGTTTATTACATGCAAAACTAGTGTGGATGCCTTCAATTTGTTATTTTCGAAACTATTACTTGCAAAGTTGTGTCTATTTGTATTTGGTGCCATTTTTGCTGCATTGCACTGGCTATTTGTTGGCATATGTAGCTGCTATTTTTGTTACTAGTGTTTGAATGTGTTTAAGCGTTCGTGGCCGAGAATTCTCGATGTCGCAGGCTCAAAGCCCATACGTAGCAAATCTTTTTTTTACCTTATAAAGTTGCTTTTTTGCTGTGTTCTCACTAGTGTTTGCGAAGCTCAGCTTCGCCTTTCTGTGATATTCAAATAAAGGTAGCGTAGTGTAATAGTACCATGCAACTTTTTTCCAACCTAAGTCACAAATAAAAATTATTTTTTAGGTAGCACTTTTGAATCAGGAGGCTGCATTGACACTTTATAGGTCTTGCTGATTTTTTTGTTTTCTGTTCAGGAAAAAATCTTAAAAGTCTCTAATAACTGCAGATGTGCATTCATACAGATTGATGCATTTGTGAATGAACTTAGGTATTTATGCACTTTTTGAGTTCAGTTGGAATTCATCTGCTGAAAGTAAATCTGCTAAAATTCATCTGCAGAAAAGGCGCCAAAAAACGTGAACGATTTCAAGTTTCATAAGTGGAATGTAATTTTCAGATTTCCAGCGGAATAAAAATTTTACCTATTGATCCAGTTTTCTGGTATAACAAAATATCAGATTGGGTTAATGTTATCAAAAAAAGTGCCGTTCATAAATCGTTCTAGAAATTCAAAGAGCTTAAAAGGCATCTATTTTTTTCTTTGAAGTTCGAAAGTTGAGATTTGTCCAACAAAGTCAGTGTTTTTTTTATGTTCAATTGCGTTCAATACTCTTTTCCAATATTCAATTGGCTATCTTCGATTATTATAAAAGTTGGCAGCCCGACTAATAATAATTTTCCAACTTTTTGCGTGCTAGGTAATTGTAACTGCTTTTAGTTAATCAAGACCCACAATATTTGATGTCAAATTTGTGTTGTGCAGTTTAAAGCTCCCGATTATTGTGCCGCTTTCTCTCGTTCGTGGGTTTGCGAAGCTGCAGATGTGCCAGTGTTGCCAATAACCAACTTTTTCTTTTGCTTTTAGTCATTGCTGTACGCTAGTCTACATATGACAATACAACTTAACTCTCCCTCTTTATTCTGTAATGTTAATTTCTTGTTTTTTCCCCAAATACTTCAACCGATTTTTTTTATTGAATCTTGGTTTCTGTAACAGAAAATTTTTGGTCCATTTGTCTCAAATTGAGGTAACTTTTTGTATGCTATCTAGGCGTAGGTGCTTTAGCCCTTTAGTATTTTACGTTTCGCTATATTATGTATTAGTTTTTTTGTAGTTGTGCATTTGAAAGCTCAAGCTTATAGTGCCGCTTTTCTCTTGTGTTTGCGAAGCTGCAGCTTCGCCTCTGTCTTGCAAATAGCCAACTTTTTTTCTTTGTTTTCAGTCATTGCTGTATAGTAGTTTCCATTTGACTATACAACTTAAGTCTCTTTTTATATTTTGTTATAGCAAATTCTTGTTTTTTCCCTGAAATCTTAAACAATTTTTCTTAATTTTGGTTTCTTCTGTATTTAAAAACTGGGTTATCAAATTGGTTTAGTATATTGCATGCTAAGTAGGTGTAAGTGCTTTAAGTTTTCAAATTCAACAATATTTCTCACTAATTACACTTGCGAAGCAAGTTTTTAGTACGAACCGTCTTTTTTTTCCAAACTAAGTTTTTTTTAATTTGCCCCCGATCCTGCTCAATGCAGGACCAACAGTGGGGAGGGTAATGTCAAACCTAAGTCGCAAATATTCATGACTTTTTGGGGCAAATGTACAGCTGTCTCGTAGCATGTGCTTTGACATTCGAATGTTATGCTCATGTTACATGCAAAGTTAGTGTGGATGCCTTCAGTTTGTTATATTCCAAATTAATTCTTGCAAAATTGAGTCTGTTTGTATTTGGTGCTGAATCGCATTGGCAGTTTGTTAGCATATGTAGCTGCTTTGTTCGTGACTAGTGTTTGTCGGTTGTTAAGCTTGCGTGGCTGAATGGACAGTGCGTGAGACTCAAAATCTCTTGATTGCCGTAGGTCGCAGATTCAAATCCTACACGTAGCCGAGTTTTCGCTAATTCGAGGTTTATTTCTGCTTTTTCTTATTTCATTTAATAGAGCTGCTTTTTGGTCGTGTTCTGGCAAGTATTTGCGAAGCGCAGCTTTGCCTGTGTGTAAAATTTGCGTTGTGCATTTTAAGCTCACAGTTTTCGTGCCGCTCCTCTTTTGTGTTTGCAAAGCTGCAGCTTCGACTCTATAGAAAAATAGCAATTGTTTTTTGTTTTCAGTCATTGCTTTACGATGGTCTACAATTGACTGAACACCCTGACGGAGGGTCAAATTTTTCATCCCCTCGCTCACAGGATGATTTTTTCTCGAAAGCTCAGCCACAATTTTCTGGGAATCCTAGTCAGGACTTGGTCTGCTGGATCCTCACATTCTCTCGGCGTTCAACTTCTTCGCCAGAATAAGTTTTGGATTCTTGAACTGTCTAGAGTTTGTTTCGTCGTTACCTTCAAGAAGGAAACCGGGCTGTCTGTGTACACTGTTAGCTGAATTATTTGTTAGTCTATTTTGACTACTAATTGTAAGGATTTCATTTAATTAAAATACGGTTGATATCAATTTTCTTTATGACCTTTTCCTGGTTGGAGTTAACCAGCCTGTTTGTTTTTCTTAAAATTCTTGTTTGCACGTAGTTTGAGATTTGTTCCACTTTCATAGTTCCTGTCTTGATCGCAAACTCCTCACTAGAGTCGAAGTCCTCTACTACTTAGTTACACTCCTCGTCTGATCTCTCTGATTCTTCTGTTTCTCTGACTTGTTGTGATCTGCACATTTTTGCGAAATGGTTTGCTTTGTTGCATTATTTGCATATTTTCCCCATCGCATTGTTTCATCTTCATCGCTGAGTTTGATGTTGTTACTGCTCCAGCATTTTTTTGTGTTTGTTTTCTGTAATGCATGTTTTTTTTGCTATGTTCGAATTTTATTGCCCTTTTAACTACCTCTTTAGCGTTTGAAGAGTTAAAGTGTCTTGTAATGTTACATCTCCCATTCTCGAAATGAATAGGACGCGCACTAACTCGTCTTCAAAAGTTCTCAGCTTCGATCTAGCTGCTTCTGAAGTTAATATGTCAGGACATGCTTCTTGTATTTCCCCATGTTCTTGCATCCGAGTGAATAGTTTGTACATTTTGTATGTCACACTTATCACATTTTCAAAAAGTTCTTTTGCTAATTCCACCGTGTTTTTATTTTTCATTTTGGATATTTCAACATGGTGGTTTTTCTTGCAAGAATCTCTTCTTGCCTTATGCTCCTAAGGCTAAGAACAATCTTGAGACAAGTATTTTCTGATTTTCATAGTATTAGATTTTATGTCCTACTTTTGGTCCTCTAGCTATTCGTTATTCGTTCTCGAACAGGACTTAGTCCACAGTGCGAGTATGTCTTTCAGTTCTCGGAGATTTTTGTCTCGGATGTGGTTCTTCCAATAACACTTTCAGATACTTCAGTAATAATTCTGGGCGACGCTCTCTTTGACTGTTACCGCCATCAAGATTTGTTCGCGCCAGGTCTTGAAACGCCACGGTGGGTCTAAATTTACCGTCACCGAGAACACCGGTATTCCCATATTCGTCCGATTTCTTCAAAAGTCCTGCTGGTTGCGCGATCTGATAATTTGAGGAACTCCCTTAGGTGCAAAACGATGTTGCTCAGAAAAAATTCTTTTTATCTGTTCCTTATACATACGGCTTGATAAATTTCTTTCAACGCATGTATTACTGGCAATTGTGTTATCAGCATTTTCCTAACATTGAAACGCATTCGAGACATACGTTAAAAAGTTATTTCTGCTTTGTTATTTTTCTTTTGAGTCCGCAGTTTTCGTCCTTTTTTCAGGCTAGCTGCCGTGATATGTTTTTGCTGAATTGCTAGAGGTACTTAGTAAGTGTTTTTTTTTAATTTAAAGATTTTTCGGCTTAAAGCGTTTTGGGTTGCTATATCGATTAAGTCGCCTTGTATTGCGTTGTTTTAGGGAAAAACATATATTTTCTTGGTAATAGATATTCTTCTTAAAGTCAATTTCAATTCAAAAATTTTTACAATTTACGTTTCTGAAATCATTTTTTCTCGGCTCATCTAACGTCTACCCTTAAGTTACCGCTCCTTATTTTTCCAGTGATTATTTATTGCTGCCGCTCGCCTTTTTTGACATGTTTTCTTCACAATGAATGTCATTCGAGAAAGTTGTGATTTTATTATTTTTTTGAGACTCAATTGTTTTTTGTTAGCTAGCTTGCCATGCTATGTTTGCGATGGGTCACAATTGGTTCGAAGCTCCGCTGAGTATCTGTGCAATTCGTATTGGCACATTGAGCTACTAAAAATTGGCTTTGAATATTTATAAATGCGCGAGTTAAATTGCCGCTTTTTTCTTGAAATCATCTGTGTGAAGCTTTTGTGACGCTCGAATATGCGAAGTGCATCTTTTCTCTAAACTGTTCAATGTTTTTAGGGACAAGTTGTTTCCTGTGTATGGCTTCGGTGCAAGGCTGCCTCCTAATGGAATCGTGTCGCACGACTTTGCTGTGGTGAGTCAAACAGATTACATCGAAAAACCGAGTGAGAATACTGTAATGTAAGTGTTCCGCGAACGTTTATCGACCTGTTAATTTTTCAGACGAAAACTGAAATTTTTAAAACCGTGAAATTTACAAATGTTGCTTAACGAATCGAATTTTCCGTTGGTCATAGAGTTGTTTTGTTTTTATTCCTCTCGATTTAATATGTTTACCCTTGCAAGATGCAAGGGTAACCAGGATCTAGTTTTTTCTCACGTTAAAAACTTGCTCCACTGAAAAGTGAAAATAATAAATGGCAAATTTATTGTTGTGCTCAATGTAGGAACGCTATTTACTGGATCCTAAGAATTTTTTTAAGAGTCAATGAACGTAATGAAGACCCTTTTATAGACCTTGATGATTTTGTTTGTTGTTTGATTTTTCGCTTTTTGAATTTTCGTTTCTTTTTGAGATCAGTTCCTTTCCTCTTGAAAAGAAATGCAATTTGTGAAATTCACGAAAATGGTGATGGACTTCTAATTTCGAAGGTAGATTATAATTTTCAGGTTTCCTAACTGAATTGACCAAGTTTTCTCAAATTGAATTAATTTTATCAAAAAAAGTGACTATGTTTAATTGTTCTTGAAATTCAAGCTGCATTAAGGCCATAAATTTTTTCTTTGAAGTTTGAAAGTTGATGTTATTTTTTTCGATTGAAAAGTCAGTGTTTTTGTTCTGTTTCTTTGCGTTCATTGAACCTTTTCGAACTGTCTGTTGGCTATTTTTTAATTCTTAACTGAGAGCGACCGGTTTAGAAAGTTTTCAGTGACCTTCAAAAAAATGGAAATTTAATCTTTCAAAAAACTAATTTTTGGCCTAAGAACCTTTTTTTCGTGTAGCTGATTTGTTTTCGTTTAAACGTCCTTGTATTTGAATAAGGTCAGTGCTGGGCTTTTTTTAAGAGTCGATGAACGTACTTCAGACTGTTATATAGCTCGCGATGAATTTCGTTAGGTTAAAAACTCTAAGTTACTTTTTTGCGGCTTGACTTCTGATTTATTGTTGAGTTAAGTTCGTTTCCTTTGTTAAAAGGAAGTCGAATTCCAATATCGAACAGCGATAGCATAAAGATCAGGAAAAAAAGTGATCGACTTCTAGTTCGAAAGTGGAATTTAATTATCGAATTTCCCAGCGAAATAAAAATTTTACCTATTGATCCAATTTTGTTAAATTGGGTTTACTTAATCAAAAAAATGTTAACTATTAGTTGTTCTCGAAATTCAAAGAACTTTATCTGCATCTATTTTTTTCATTAAAATTCGATACGTCATTTTTTTCTATTTATTTGCGTTCATTGAATCTTTTTCAACTGTCTGTTGGCTATGTTTGGTTATTTCTCTGGTTGCATGCTTATGGTTGAACTTCACAAGATTTGTTTGATGTCTTAGAATAAAGAAAAAAATATATATTCTCCAGATTATGAATTTTGTGAAGTTGTTAGGAAAAATTTATTTGTTAACAAAAATCTCATTTTTCCTGTCTTATGTTATGGTAATGTTTTTTGCTGTCTTAAGTTTTCTTGGCTCCTGTAGAAGAGAATATTTTCTTTCATTTTTTTTATCTTTGCTTCAGAGTTTTTTGTCGAAAAACCGAATCATGTTGAAACTAAGATTTTATTGCCTGGTTATTAAAATAAATTGATTTATCAACAATAAAATCAAGAGGAAAGCATCTGGCATTGGGTTCAGACTGATTAGAGCATCCTTTGAAGCTTGATTGCGAAAGCTTTTATAATCATGGGGTCAAGGGCAACTTTTTAGTAATTGTTATTTCGTGGGCAAATAACCTGAACTTTGATCTATAAACATGTTTTTTGTACTCGATAGTAATGCTCTCATTTAGTATTCCCGTAAATTATTTTTTCATTCGGTTGGAATCCTGCAAGGGCTAGTTAGTACCAGAGGAGTTTGACTGAGTCTGCGGCCTGTTTGACCTGCTGGTAGAACTTGGGCGGGAAAGACTCTGAAGAGAAAGAGATGGCGATGATGAAGTTGTTCCTGAGAAGAGTCACTCCCGCGCATGCTTTGTCCGATCGAAACGTAGCCATATTGGTATTGTTGCCCTGCAGCAAAATTGAACATTTCAAAGTGTGAATTAAAACTGAATTTTCTTTTGGTAAGAGCGTGGATTTTTTTGGTAAACTTTTAAAATAGTTTCAGTCATAAAAGTTTCTAGGAATAAAGAGAACTAAACAATGATGTATCTCATTCCATGAAATTCGGGAAATGAAAGAAAATAAAAAAAAATCACGCATTGTTTGGGCTGGGCACCTAGAGTTTCTTAAAATCTTTTCCGCTGGCTATTTCGTAGAAAGTTACTCGAAAGTTTCACTTTACACAAAGTGGGCTCTCATTTCGATCTAATGATTTTTTAATCTGTCCTTAGAGCCTTTCAAATCTTTTGGATATCCATCTCGATGAGTGGGTACCTTTTTTATTTGCTGCTTTGAATCAACCTGATCGATTTGAAGTATTGTCTTAAAATAAAATTAATAATTTTTTTCTTTCAAATGCATCACTAGCCTGTACGAAACCGAGGTATTCGCCGCCTAGGGTGATTCCCGTGCTGCGGATAAGGGATTGGTTCTTGACTCCGTTGATGCTCTTCTGGGTCTCACTCTCCTCCACAGCTCCGATTGGAATTGTAACTTCCGATGCTTCTCCTGCTTAGCATAAAAATTTGCCTTCAAATGAAGAGATCGGGCAGAATTTGAATACTTCGGTTTTTTTTTGTTCCGACCATTTGAAAAATCAGTCTTTTAGTTTTTTTCGTTTTGTTTTCCACGCAAAATCAGGTACCATCAATAATAATGGGAACAGGTCGAGTGATATATCATATTAAAGTTCTTTCAGTCGTGATTCCAACGACATATAAAATTTTCCAAAAAAGTGTCCCCCCAGTATCGGGAAAAACAGGTTGAAAATTTTTGAATTTTAGTGTAAATTCGAGCAAGCAGGCTTACAATAGCCTATTTTTTGCTGAACTTAGGCCGTGAAGATTTAGTTTTTACTAAAATAAAGTTGTTATTGGAGGTTTTTAGCGACATTTGGGAAGTAAACTCTTTTTCTCTTGAGTTTTTTTTGTTTTCTTGGTAATTTTTCTACAAAAGTGTTTCATCCAATTTGCCCATTTTAATTATGAATTTCGAAATTTCTTAAGTTCCAGTTTTTTGTTTAGATTCTTTCATAACACCACGCACAAAAAATTGAAAATATAGTTTTTTAAATTGTTTTTTTTTTCTAAGAATATGGTCGGAACATTTTGTGCTACTTGCACAGTTCAGGGTTGCATAAAAATCTGATGTATATTCTCGATTGATTTAAATCCGATTTTTATTATTTTACCTTGATTTTTTTGATTTTTGTTGGAAACGTTTTTGTTTCAAGAATCAATTAATTTACGCAAAATTACTGATTCAGCATCCGAAAGAAGAACACAAGTTACCCATATTTTTCTATTCCCAGTCAATTTCTGAGACTGGAATGGATAAATCCGAAAGTGCTGAAAAACTTTTCTAGTTAAAAGTATGCTATGAAGAGCGAAGTACGTAATCAATGTAAAAATTGCAAGCTGGGTTGTATGTTTACCGCGGCACTCGGTAGGAAAACACAAGGGTTGATTTTTTTGATTTTTATTCTACGATTAAAATCCGATTTAAATCAAGTTGATTTTAATCATGCAACCCTGGCACAGTTACCGGCTATTCTTGTTGAAATTGTATGTGGCGCAAAACATTGAAACCGAGTCATAAATGGCGATTAGTTTTTTCAGAAAACATGAAAATCTCAAACCATGTTCAATAAAAAAAAGCTAAGCCCGGAAGTCACGTATATGCGTTTGGTTTGAACAACAAATTTTAAATGAATTTTACCATCAAAAAGTGGCGTGAATAAATGTTATTAGTAAGTAGCTCTACCTTCAGTATCCTCTGGTTGTGTTAGTGGGTTCTGTTGTCTAATGCTCTGTGCCCATATTTTGCCAGACAGGTCCCCAATGATCCACATGTCCACCTGGCTGTACTGTCTAGCCAGCTGCTCACTCCACACCTAAACGCCAACTCAGCCAATCATAACCACTAACGTTTCGTTATGTCCTAAAATGTTACGTAATGTCCCAAAATAACATAGCAAAAAAACCAAGTTATGAAAAACAAAGTTATGAAATACCGATTTTAAAACAAAACAGCTGCTTGCCTCAAATTGATGCATTCTTTTACTCGGTGTCTTTGACATGAAAATACAGGAATAGTAGCCTAGAGCTATGTATTGTGAGCTGTTCTGATAGCAGAACGACCGAATGGCAGAAAGAGCCAATCAACAAGAGGCCCTAAAGTCCATAACTGTAACTGAATTCTTAAGTCTTTTTCTTTCAGGTTTTTGAGTTCTGAAAAATGATTGGCTAATATGACTTAATTTTGTGTCTGCCATGAAAAAATCTTCTATTCTCTGCTATGAGTATAACTCACCTTCCAACTGAGGTTTTCCTCTATATGAGTCATCTTGAAGGGCACCTCCACTTTCTTTGTCTTATCACTCATGCTACTGCCACTTTTGGCCACCATTCTTGTGTGTGTTCTATGGCTGAAAAGAATTGATGGCGAAACCTAGAAACTATCAGAATTGAATCAAAAATTAATCAAAAGTTTGAATTGAATCCTGAATTTAATCAGCTGAAAAGGAGTTACCAGTAGGAGTTGAAAAGGAGATATTCGACTGGGTATCAAAGTGCAGCGAGTTAATATAAATGGTGTTAAAATGTAGCACTACGAATTTTGTATCTTTTCGAATGTTTTTGACTACGGAGGAGTTTTGGTCTCATGTTATTTAACAAAATTTGTTGGTTTTTTAAAAGTTTTTTAATGAAGTTGGAGAAATTGTCTTATGGGTAGAAATATACAAAGAAACACTTCAATAAAAAAGCATAGCCAGTTGTTGGGCTAGTAATATCAGCTGGTAGAATTTACCGATCATGCATGTTTTTATTACGACACAAAAGAAAAAATATGAATTGGTTTATGAACCATAAGAACCAATAAATAAGAGCGTTCGATGCCTTCCAAACTCCTAAAGTTAGATTGGAAATTCAGTCTGAAATTTCCAGTTTGAGCAAACACGTGTATAGCAAAAAAGTTGTTTGGCATCGAGAAAGAATTTTCAGCATGCCTGTTTTGAACCCAAATTTCTTTATCTTAAGTTGTTTAATATGATCTAGATACCACACTGATTGTTCACCCGATTTTTTTAGTTGGATAAGGAGCATCTGAAATCAATTTTGACACTTTTGAATGGCTCGCCGCGCAATTTACTAATCAATACTTCGGAGAAAATTATTGTGGGCAAAACGATTAAGTTATTCTAGTTTTTATGTTATTAAACTAACCTGGAGTGAGGTCAAATAATTGGAGACTGGATATTTCCAAAAAGTCAGCTAGTCTTCAATTTTAACCCCGTTCTATTAAATATTGATTTTTAAAAATCACTTGTTTAAGACGCTGAAAGGTCTCTAAGAATTACCACACTAGTCTATCAAATTAAGTATATGAAGAAACTAAATGCAATGGTAAGACTAAGACCGGTATTAGTCCATATTCAGCTGTGTATTAATTTGGCTAAATGTTTCACGTGCTTTTTTGGTGCAATTTAATTCCGCGACTCTACTGTTGTGGCTCTCAATTTAGTTTGATAATAAACAAATAGAAACATCTAAATGAAGTTATAAGATCACGTTTTGAACATATTTAAATTTAAAAGCAATTGACGAGGATCAAAATACTTTCTGCAGCTGTTCTGCTCTCAATGAAAAGTAAAAATCTGGTGTAACTTAGGAATTTTTTCCCTTTGTAAAATATAGATTGCTTCTTCATTTAGGCAGCCCAATATGCATAATTACCCTCTTACTGTTTTTCATGCTGTATTGAGTTCTGGTAAATTGTGGCTCGCTCAACTAATGATTGTTTGTCCTTTTCTGAAAATGTCATTGGGAGGTGTCACAATCGCACGTCTGTATGGCTTATGAGATTCCGATGTGACAGTGTTTTTGTCTTTATCCATCGATGTGTGACCATTGGAGATGATTTATGCGCAAATTGATAGCTGATTGATGAATATGTGGATTTGTTGAATGTTTGAATGTTCTTTTTTGCTGAATGTTCAGATGTTGAAGGAAATAGAAAAAACTTAAATTAATTATAATTTAAAACGATTAATATTAAATAGGGTAACATTAATCTGACTTAAAGAACCATATGGCACGGTAATTGTTGCGACCAATTCTCGAAGTGAAAATTAGTAAATGTGAGGTGAGTGTTTCTGACATGATTCTGACTACTACAAACAAAGCTCGTAAGGGGTCAAGTGTGGTACCATATGAAAGCCATTTTGGTCGTAATTCGGATTTCAACGAAAATCTTTCAGTGTCGAGAAACTGGCTTGATTTTTTTCGGTTTTAACACTTGATGGCACGAATACTACGAGGTGAGAGACTGAGCTCCCAATTTAATTTTTGCAATAATAACATTGTTTCAGTTATTCTTACCACCCATTTTTGCATTTTTCCACAATTACCTTTGCAATAAGCAAGGGTATTGCAATTGTGAACTAGACTATTTTGCCGTAAATAACTTTAGGTACAGGACTCATCTCCTGGATCCTGGGCTCGTTCATCCACTAGGCCTTTCTGTTGGAACGGAGATAGCATTTCAAATATATGGCCTATTGAAATTTTGTTTTTTAAAGAGTAATGAACGTAGTGAAGACCCTTATATAGATCTTGCTAATTTTTTTGTTTTGTTTTGAGGAAAAGTCTTAAAATACTCTTATAACTACAGATGTGCATTCATACATATTGATGCATTTATGAATGCAATTAGGAATGTATGAATTCAATTGAAATTCATCTGTGGAAAGTGACGTAAATAGCACTCTCCAAATAGTTTCGAAAGTGGAATTTAATGTTTAGATTGCCTGTGGAATAAAAACTTTACCTGTTGATCTAGTTTTGTCAAGTTGGGTTAATGTTATCAAAAAAAGTGCCAATCGTAAATCGTTCTAGAAATTCAAAGAGCTTAAAAGGCATCTATTTTTTTCGAAGTTCGAAAGTTGATACTTTTTCAACAAAGTCAGTGTTTTTTAATGTTTACTTGCGTTCATTACTCTTTTCCAATCTTCGATTGGGTATGTTTTTATGTTGGTTGTAATTTTACCAACTCGGTTTGTTAAAATTTCATTGTTTGTTTTTTTTTTCTCGGGTTAATAGGTTTCGGCATATTTTACATCGGCTTATTGGCCCCATATTGCATTATTTGATGAGCAAAAAAAGTTTTTTTGTCCTGAGCTTGTAAATGCGTTTTGAGGGGTTTGAGCTAAACAATTTTTTATAGTTTTGCATATTTTTCCGAATTGTTTTAATTTTTTTTACCACTAAGGATTTCTTTCTATTTTTTCTACCATTGTTTTTTTCGAGTTTTGCTTTGCAAGTGGTGCGAAGGTCAGCTTCGCTTCTGTGAAAAATAGTTTTTTCTCGAAAAAATAACAGGTAATTTAGACTAAAAAGTAGCAAAAAGAAATTGAAGAACTCTTTTCTTAAACCAGTGTGGCCAAAACTTTCTGCGCTAATTGCACAGCAGCGGTCTATTGCTTTTATAGATTGGATTTGGATCAGGTATTCGTTATTAGGTACGATAGGAGAGGCGATTTTGATAACGAGATTCGAATTTTAATAACTATCTGAACGAATATAGTCTTATTCAATGAATTCACATTAGATTTTCAGTGTTTTAGTAGCCGATAAAAGTTAACTTTTCATTTTATTTAAGAACTTCAATCCCTCCAATCCTTTCGTGGCTGGTCTGGATGGAATCCTGGCTGCGTACCATGGCTGCATCCAGAGTATCCAACTCTACGGACCGACTAATTTTGCCCCCATCATCAACAAAGTGGCCTCGTAAGTGACGACCAGTCAGCTCTCCTGGTTGAAAAACTGATTATTCTGTTGTGCACTAAGTTACTTAGTTTTTCCTCAAATTCTACTTTTACTATTAAAAGGCGCTTTAATATGCATGTTCACGCTCACTTCAACATGGGACTAGTTTAAATTTTTTATTAGGTATTAGTCCTAAACCTTTAGGCAAAAGAAAAATATGATTTTGGAATTGGTATCGAAAAAAGAGCTTCATTCGATTAGCTTCGAAATTTAATCAACATATACTTTGGAAAGGTCAAAAGGCACCCAATGCATATCAACTTGAGTTTAACTATTCATTTTTCTACAGGAGTCGGTGGGTGAGAGTTTGCGCATAAAGTTTCTTGAATTGAAACTACAGAATCTATTCTGGCTTTACTCTGTTTTCATAGCTTACATTCTTTCGAGTAGAGATATCTTGGGGCGTTTTTGATGCACGGTTTCCCTTAAATGTATTTTGAAATCAGGATAGAATTAGAAAAACTTAATGTTAGTCTAATAAAAGACGATTCTATTCGGTTTCTTATGGCTAATTCTAGAAAATTTTTATTCCCGAATTCCTTGAGCCCGAATCCACATTTTGTTAAGCGTTTGCTTCAATTGGCTTAACTTTCAACAAATGTTTAAATTATTTGATGTTCGCATTTTTATTTCGTTTAGGCAGGCGCGGGAGGTGAGACCGGGGGAGGATTATGTAATCCTACTCATCATTACAGATGGAGAAATAACTGATATGGAAAACACAAAACACGCCATTGTGCAGGTACTAATTGAGGAATTCGGTACTAATATTACATGCACTATCGAGCTTGAAAGAGTTCTGTAATAGTACACTAGCGAACTCAATGTTTACACTAGCGAACTCAATTTTTTGACGAGTTTTTTTTTTCGTTTTTCTAGTCAATTTTCTGCAAAAACTGTTTTTCAACTAGTTTTTTTTCACTATAAATGCCGAATATTCTTAATCTATTTTTTCTTTCAGATCGTTTTATCACACCACGCAGAAAAAACGACACTAATTTGAACAAACTTTTTTTTGTATTTTTAAGACTAATCGGAACGTTCTGTGCTACTTTCACAGTAACCGGCTATCCTTGTTTTTTTTGCTCACGATTTTCAGTAACTCGCTAGAGTTAAAAGGTAGAATTATAAAAAGCTTTTTCAGCGGTGAGTTGCATTTCAAAAAAGATGTCTGAGCTTCGAAAAAACGGGTCTGAATTTTCCATTTTTAAACTAATGGTAACATTCACGAATGACACGATTTTTTGCTAGATTAGCTATTAATGCTTCTCATTTGATAGATTTTTGCATAATTCGATTGCCCACTACTGAAAAAAAAGAAATAAATTTTTGTCCATTTTGTTTCCTCTTTTTGTTTAGTTGTGTTTACTGCAATCTTTCTGGCGAAAAAATGTATGCTACCTGTACAGCAACCGGCTATCCTTGTTATTATGAAATTTTAGGCCTCTTCTCTTCCTCTGTCCATCATCATAGTGGGCGTAGGCAATGCACAATTTGATGCTATGGATGAGCTAGACGGCGATGACGTCAGACTTTCTTCTAGAGGCAGATACGCCGAGAGGGACATCGTACAGGTAAATATACAGTCCGGACATTCAAAAAGCAGTACTTAAGGGCTATTTTTGTCAATCTTTAAGCTAGATAGTATCAATGTTAGTATCAACCTATAGTGCAAATCTTTGAATCAGTCTTCAAATTAGTGGCTTGAAGCTAGCCCTGATCAATGCTCCTTGCCTGAGGGCGACGTAGTATGTTTCATTCCAATTTAAAGAACAATGAATATAGTTTTTAACGAAAGGTCTTAAAGTTCGTAAGTTATTACTTTCACTGACGGATACCTGCTTCTTAAAATCGCAATTTTTTAAGAATTTTTTTGCCAATCAAACACTCTTAGATGACCGTCTAACGATGTAAAGATAGTTCAGTTAGATGAGTTCATGTATGTTTCTAGACGATGGCTTTTTTACTTACTCTAATTGAATCCGAGACATTGAGCTTCTTTGGAAAAAAAATTGCTGAAACTAATATGGTTACACGAGTTAAAAGTTTCATCTTTATTTTGAATGCAATGATGTAGTTTAATCATCAGTCTCATCAGATATCCACCAAAACAGGTCCAAATTTGAATCTTTTCGGATGCCCTTCGGGCGAAATTCCCTTACATGCGGTGTTTTCTTGAAGTGTCCAGTCAAACACCGGCTGCTGAGAATGAGTGGGTCCACTAATTGCGACCATCTGCAGCGAATTTATCATCTCAGCATTCGTTATTTTGAAGTCAGTTGCGCCGTGACACCTAGCACTTTCAGATGCTATGTTGTACGTACCATTCAAAGGGTTCAACTCGCACCGAGCACTTATTCCGTTTTCACTACTGTAACCCAAAGGCGTGCAGTTGCACTTAGCGTAAGGATCATTTTGGAAATCGTTGTAACGCATGAGAGCTATAGTTGAATTAAGATCCTGCGATTTGTGGAGATCTCTGCGAAAGATGTTTGCTCTAGGACACTGATCGTGAGAGTAGAACAAACCATACTCGTTAATGTACGCCGAATAGTTGTTTATCTGCTGAGTTGCTTCGAAATAAGGAACATTGTAACTGACCCAAGCGTTTTGATAGTCGCTACTAACCAACGTATGGGACATGTCTTTTGCCATTATGAAACCAGGCAATTGTTCCAAAACATGCAAGGTTCCTGCTTTTATCGGTTGCGAGTCCTTCGGATTAAACTGTTTGTAATCTACTACCATCCATTGGTTGTTGTAAGTGCCGGAATTGAACTTTCCGAAATAGTCTGTCCATTCTTGGCCCGAAGAACTTAATCTATTAGAAACCATCACGCGTACAAAATATGGTGCCGAGTTGTTAGCTGTAATGTAGTCATACAGAGTACGGTTTTGAATGCCATTTGTAGTTTCCAGAATAGTTAATTTCTGACTTGTTATGTAATAGTCGTCTACTGAATTGATAATTGCAGGGTACGAACTTTCTAGAACAGTTGCAGCAGGCAGGGTTTGGTTGTCAGAATTACTCATTCTGAAAGGCAAAGTTACTTTCTTGATGATTCTCAGCATCATGATATAGTCGCCCCAAGTAACGTGAGATGCAAGCAGATCACTTCCTAGGTTTCGCACTAAAGCGCTACATGAGAAAGATGGAAATCGTTTTTCTACGGATCCAAACTTTGTCTCGATGTCGGATAATTCACCCATCTGCCACTGGAACATCCACATTGGACCCATGGGGTCTATGTCTCTGGATACCTTACATGGGTTACCCAGAAAAGCGTCTTCTATACCTTTGATCTGGAACATGAGCAGTCCTGTATGGTACCAATACGAATGGTCCTGATTTCTGTCTACCTTGGCTTTCATGAAATACAAGTTCTCGGCTATGAATGATTTGACGTTGTCGCTTATAGGCCAACCTCCAGCGCCTGTATTGCTAAACATCTGGTTGATCTTGAGAGAAGTAAGGATTCCTTCCATGTATCCGGCACTGTATGCTTGAACCTCATCTGGAAATGCAGAGTTGGCTTCAATGGTTAAATAGGAGAACCCTTCGGATTCTGTTTTGTCCGTAAAGGTTCCAGTGACGACTTCATTATCGTGGGACTCTTGTGAGACGAAAGGTGTGCCGTGGTCATCCAGGTATATAAAGGATATTTCAGAGTGGAAACACTGGCTTTGTTTTAAGTGCCATGCCACAAATATTATAACGAAGACGCTAAGGTGTTTGTGCTTCTTGAGAAACATGGCGAACGTTGACTACTAGTTAGTGAGTTGCTATCATAAATATTGAACTGGTTTATCTTCTACGGGATGTTTTTACAAAACTATTGAACTGATTATGATCAACTGATCAATCAATTTGAACAGTTGAGGGGATTGTTGGAATTTGTAATACCAGATCGCACTAAGAAAACACGTGAATCAAGTTATCAAAACAACTGAGTGGAACTCGCCGTAACTACGAGCAACTCTAGTATGTTGAGTGCCTTCAATATGAGCAATGTTGTGGTATTTTTGAATTATGTTTCAGTTCGTGCCTTTGCGAAACTTCCTCGACAACCAGTCTACGAACCCCATGATGACTCAGGCCAAACTGGCTAAAGAAGTCTTAATGGAAGTGCCTGACCAATTGCTCTCCTTCATGACTAAACATGGCATTCAGCCCAATCCACCAAGGCACCAGCCCCCTCCACCCGCTGGTCACGCCCCTTTTGTACCCACGATGCAACAACAAATGTCGCCTAATGCGCCCCCAGCACAGGGAGGAGTTGTACCTCCCAATTACGCAAGTGCGCCACCGCCTTATTACGGATGAATGGACTCAGAAATTATTAAATAATTAACTTTCAAATCTCATCAGCATCATCATTTGAATACAAGCATTCCTTATTTTCTGTTTGGTTTGGTCATTATTCTAAAGCTTTGCTCTGAATTTATGTAGATATTTTTGATGTTTAAGTCTTGTAAATGCGTTTATAATGATAAATTTTTGAATTAAAAATCAAAATTAGGTTTTATTTTATTTGGAAAATAAAGACCTACTCTGACAATTGTGAATACTGATTTTTTAAAACTTCTTAAGGTAAATGTTCAATTGTTTAAGATTTCGTAACACGCGGCACACGATTTAAAGTGAAGAAATTTGAATTTTTAACTTTGTTCAAGGTTGTTTTTGTAACTGCCAATTATTGCCATTTGAAATAGCTCTTGACTTTAGCCGTCTTTGGTCAGTATAGGCGTAAAGTTCGCGTTAACGCCAGACATGCTTGGAAAGCATCCTTTTGGGCAGAGCTTATCCAATACTGATTTAGCTGTTATTGGATTATTTGAAATGATCATAAGTGTTTTTTCACAAGCAAATCTTGGGTTAAAAATGTTTTCAAAGTATCTGGCCAAAGTATATATATATATAAAAAAAAACAATTTTTTTGACGATACTTTCCCTTTTACTAGTTGGGATTTCTTACTGTGTCGTTCAAGCAGCTTTGAACGTCTACCGATTTCCTACACAATCCACATATACATTGCTGAATTACAGCGTAACTTGCTTCATTGCAATCAACTTTTTCCGTGATGATAAAGATGACAACTGACCGAATTAAATCAGAAAGCGTTGATTTTTGACAAGAGTGTTTCAAAATTGATAAACCTGAAGTCTGGAATATACAGTCTAGGGACAGAACTTGAAATTTTTAGTTCTCAAGCAAAAAAATGAACAAAATCTTTTTCATGTTTGTGCCGTTTTCCTTATAACTATTTACACTAGCAATCAGCGTAGTGTACTACTACGAACCTTTTTTTCTAACCTAATTCGCAAATAAAACTTCGCTGAAAGTGTTCAAATTTATGGAAGTTTCACTGTAGCATTGAAACTTGCATAGCATCAGTTCTCTGCTTCAGTTGCGGATGTTTATCGTCAATTAAGCGTCCGTGGCTGAGTGGTTATGGCGTGAGATTCATAACATGTAGATCGCAAGTTCGAATCCGAGACGTATCCGCATTTTTGACTAATTAGAGTTTTATTTCTATTTTTCTTATTGCACTTTAGAGCTGCTTTTTGTCGTGTTCTCGCAGGTGTGCGCGAAATGCAGCTTCGCCTCTGTGTAAAAATTCAAATTGCTTGTTCTGTTTATTGGTAGTTTTTGGGAACTAAGTAGACATTTTTGTCACCCTCAAATTAAATGGCCAAACGGCGCCTTAAAATCAATGTTATGCGATTTTTTATTCGTCTATTTTCTAAAAAGATGTTCACTCATCTTATGTCAAAGTTTCATCCGTGAATTTTCACACAGAGAGATGACGAATGAAGCTCTTTGCAGACAAAAGCCGATTATAAAATGGTGTAAACTTTGGTTTTGGGGCGCTGTTTGGCCATTTAATTAGAGGGCGAAAAAGAGGTGTAATTTTTTCCCAAAAACTCCCCGTAAACAGCACAAGCAGTATGAAACTCTGAACCTAAAAGTATTGTTGAAAACCTAAGGATCTCAGCTAGGCACGCATTCGTTTTTTACTTAAAAAGATATACAAAAGCTCTTCGGCTAGGAAACGAATAGTACCTCCGATTTTGCATTTTAATATATAAATTGCTAAGTTTTTAGTCAACTCGGGCTTAAGAGCCTAACAAAATGTTTAGTTCTTCTTATGTGAAACAAAACACTCGGTTTGTAAATTACTTTTAGGTTTAGAGTGTCCAAGTGCTTAAGCTGTTTACGGAGAATTTTGAATACTTACCATACCTTTTTGTTGCCCTCTAAATAAATGGCCAAACGGCGCCTTAAAAACAAATTTGAACAATTTTTTATTTGGTTAATGTGTGAACAAGAGTTGTATCCATCATATGTTAAATTTTTATTTGTGAATTTTCATTAGGTGGAAAGGAAACAACAAAAACGGGAACAAATTTTTGTTCAATTTCTTGCTTGAAAACAAAAAGTTGCCATTCTATGCCAGGTGACTGTAGGTTGTCACATTTTTTATCTGAAAAATCGTCAAATTTGTTCACGCCCAAATTTATGTTTTCGCGCTTTGATTTTTTTAAAATCAGTTCTTCCTTTGTTAAAAGGGAAGAAAAATCTAGTATCGAACGGCAATAGGGTAAGGGTCACGAAAAACGTGATCGAATTCTAGTTTCGGAAATGAATTTTCTTAATCAAATTTCAAAAATCTGTTTAGATTAAATTTTCGGGGATTAAAATTTTTATCTATTGATCCAGTTTTCTCTAATTGGGTCAGTTCCATCAACAATATAACATCATAAATTCTTCTTGAAGTTCAAAAATCTTTAGAGCCAGCTAGTTTTGTTTGAAGTTTGAAAGTCGATGCTTTTTCAAATGACAAAACAAATTTTTTTTCTGTTATTTTGCGTTCCTTGACTTTTTTCCAATTGTGTTTGACTCTGAGATAACTTAACAAAACAATTTCGACAATTTTTGAAAAGTTGCAAGTCGAAATCAATCTTTCAATACCTTTTTTTCCAACTGTTTTTGTGTATGTTTTGATAACTAATTTGCCTGTTTAATTTTTGTATATTGGTTCGAGATATCTGATTTGTAATCATTCATAAAATGTAGGTTAACTGGTATTATGTTTTATTTAACTCTTCTTATCAAAAATATGTCTTAAGTTTTAGGGACATTGAAAGAAACATGTCAGGAACAAACTTTGATACAAAAGTTTTTTTAGGCAAGCAGGGGTTAAGTGAGGTATCAAATATAAATCATCTAGCGCTTCCCTGGAACTTAAAAATTGGAAAACTAAAAAGAAAAACTATTGGAAAAAAAGCTATTTCCTTTTTTTGATCTTCAAAACCCAACATGAATTGAGCAAAACTCATTTTCTAAGCCTTTTCGTAGTTCCCTTCCTTCACTGAACACAGTGCAAATAATTTCAATTAAACAAATGAACAATATTTTTAAAGGATTTCAAATAACTGTTGCCTGAAGTCTTTGTGCTGTAATTGCACTGCAGTCGACTAATTTGTTTGAAATTTTTTTCAGTTGATTTCAAGGTTTTTTTAAATTTTTTGTCTGTCCATTTATTTTAGACTTTGTGGCTGGCTTATTATCGTTCAAATATCTGTCATTTACTGATGTTCTACAAATGATGCTAAAACTTGCTTAAATAAAACTTGCAGACCTGCACTATAGATGAATCGTGAATTTACTTGGTTTCCTCAAATCCATTCTGATAAAAGTTTATACTCAAACGTTTTTAAATGCGGTAAAATTATTGAGTAGCTTTCATTTCAATTTCTTCTTTTCAATCAATAAACAAACTGCTTTTTCGGATTTGTTTGTCACTTCTACTAGCTTACGTGGACCAAAATTATAGCCAACAGAGAGTTGGAAAAGTGTCAACGAACTCAGAGAAAACAAAAATGATAGCCGGTTGCGATACGTGTCACAAAACAATTGAAAAAAAAACTTTTTTTCAATTGATTTTTTTATTCGTGGTGTAAAGAAAAGATCTAAAGAAAACCTAAAACTTAAGCATATTCGATAGTAATGTATAGATTTAGCGGAAACTTTTCGTTTAAAAAAATCTTAACAAGGCGCTTGAACAAACTTTGAAAAATTCTTTCACAGGAGTAAATGTAACAATAGACTATAAAGCTTTTCATAAAACCTTTTTCCAATTCGCTCACTTTGTCCCATTAAAATTTGAAAACCCGAAAAAAATTCAAACCAATTTGCTCTGCACTGGGAAAAATGTTTGATTTTATAAATTTTTGTTTGAGTCACAACTAAAAAATTATATATAAATTGAACCACTCTTATGATTTTGTGTGGTATATGATTTTGCGTGCAAAACAAAAACTAATACACACTTGGAGACCTAGCTCATCTCTTTTTTCAAAGGTTCGAACAATTCGCTTATCATGATTGAAAATCTTTCAAAATCTGAAGTTAATAATAAAAAATAATTTCCAAACTAATCTGGAATCAGAATAGATGAAACAAATGTTCGCAATTCTATCAATTACTATAATGACTTGATCGATAGCAAGCTATTGAAGATGGAGATTTGTTTTTGAGAGCCTCAAGCAGAGAAAAGTGAATCTGACGATCGTAGCAAGATTTGAAATGTTCGGTTATCAAATTCTGTTTAATCAATTTACAGAAATCGAGTAAGAAAATGTTTTTTTTTTGCCATAAAAGTTATTGCGACATTTATACGATAAAAGTCAGCCAATTTTAGAAAACTGGATAATTCAATAATTTTGTTTTGCTGGGAATTTAAATACAAAATTAACAGTGTAATTTTTTAACAGTAAAAACGTAAGTTTAAACGTGAAAAACTTTAAACGTAAAAGTTTAAACGTGAAAAAACAAAAAAAAACACCTAAATAAGTCAAAACTCCCTTCGTTCATTAACACGTGAAACTGTCCTTTTTCCAAAATCTTATTTTGATCCTAATAATCGATGTTCGGTTTTTCGTGTGTTTTATTGTCAAGATTGATTTCATCGGGTCATCAAATGAGGTTTCCTTTGATCGTGATCGTAAATTCCAGGTGATCATTTTATCTAATTTGAATTTGATTTTTTTTCTAGAGGTGGAGCTTTTTATGAGCTGATCAAATGAGGTCTCCTGATCCTGATCGTAATTTCCAGGTGAATTTATCGATTTAAATTGAATTAGAATTTTCCTTTCGAGTATCTTGTTCGTCTTCTTTCTTCATGCAGCTGTGACTGCCTGCTGCGTTGGCTGCATGGGTCCCATAGGACCCTTTACTGCTCCCATGCTGTTGCCACTGAAAAACAAGGAAAAGAAAAGCTGAATGCTGAATACTTTTGCGCGTAAATTAGTCTGAATAGAAAAAGAATCGCACCTTTTCTCGGTAGTGAAAGAAGTTTTTCGAAACATTTTTTTGAAATAAAACAAATTAAGTTCAAAAATGCTTGAACGTGATCACGATCAAATAATCTTCTTCAGGCTTGCTAACAGTATTTTTGAAATCGCAACAAAAATTCAACCCTTGCCAGTAGTTACTTC